CAGCTTTAGTGCGATCTTCTCATTCCCAGGGGCTATTATCGTTAATGTATTCATTTCTATTATAATAACCCTTTTTAAAAAGTTTTTCTTTAATAAATTTCTTAAACCTGTTAAAAGGCTTTGCAGATTAACTGGCATTACATACAACGTCCATCAGTTAAACAACCCTTTTAACTCGTCATAATGTTAACTGAGTTCGTCTCCCAGGCGGTTGGTTGCATTATGACCCCCGCAGTGCCTTGGCAACCCGCCAAGTTACAACCACTTTCAAACTCAAGCTGAGACATGGAAAATCGTACCGACTTAACGACTATTAAGCTCTGCAGAAAGCTGTCAATGTGTTCTCTGCAAGATTACGATTTATGCAAGCGAATCGCGAACTTAATTTCAAAACTTAGGTTAGATTACGAAAAAAAAATATTATAAATCACGTTAATATATAACTTTACGGAAGTATTTTGTGGTCTTTACTGTGGTCACAACAGTTATCGCTGTTGCATGAATTGGAAGGTTCGTCGGGTCACAGTACCATCACCTCACAGAAGACCCACTTAATTGGAAGTGTTACTGTGTACTTCTACGTGTCTTCTGGCGACACACACTTCTCACAGAAGACCGGCGTGAAGAAGAAGCGTTATACTTCTGCGTTTCGTTTGGTGAGTGAGGTAGCCGGGGGCCACTCTATTAAAAGGTGGCATCAAATCGGCAATCGTATAGGTGTTGGTGGTGGTGAAAATGTCAATGGGCGGCGGTTATCACTTAACATCAGGTGAACCGCAAGCCACCTTTTCACATAAAAAAATCATATTTTTGAGTACTTTTAATATTTTTTGTAATTAATGTTAATTATGTTAATTTTTTTGGCTTTTGCACGTATTGCAATCATTACAAGTTTAAATACGGGTTCCGCAGTAATTATAGATAATTTAATGGTCTGCGAATCGAAAGCAATTTTACTGATTTACCGCGTTCATTATTAATTTTATTTCCCGAAGTTGTTTTATTTAGAAATATGTAATCGCGTAAATACAAGAAACTATCATATATGCTCGGCGGTGAAATAAAACACCGTATCTAAGAGCTAAATATACAAATGCTGCATATATAAGTTACTTAACCCACAGATGCCACCTCATGGTGGACTATGCCCTCATATCTCTCATTTGATTAATATCAACCATATAAATAATTTTCTTCCACCACCATCACAGTGAATAAACGTCGGCTTATCTTCTGAAATATTACGTGTCCAGTATTCCATTATTTTCCTCCTTACTTAAGCCCCTCTTCATCCGTATACGATGATATAAATTATGGGCAATAAAGCTTAACACGTACGCAATGCATTTTATAGAGAATTCATAAAACACCAAGCAGTGATCATTTCTAGATATGGTGACGTTATCATTACCAAGAATATTCAGTTAATAACAGTTCAAATAATGAATGAATGAATGAATGTCTTTATTGCCAGAATATGGTAGTGCATTGTGATCTTAATTTGATAGAAAATTATTTACATTAAAATATACGACATGAATTAATATTCATTTAACAATTAAAGACAATGCAACAAAATTATAAACTCATAGAAAATACGATAGATTCACAATTTAGTCACAGTTCTTATTAGAAGCATTTTATCGAAAGTCAGCAAGAAGATTGTAACTACTATATGATTATATTTGATTTATGATGAACATTGTAACTTATAAGATTTATCGCATTTATTCTAAATTATAATTTTGACCAGCACTGCAAGACTTCATTGTTCACTCAGCACTTTCAGCGTAGGGACACAACATTTTTTTTTAAAACGAGCGACGGTAGCCAAAATTAACAATTATATACGCCTAACGTCTCAATCCATCGTGTGACCATAAATTCTGAATTCATAACACTATTCCTTACAATAGAAATGATAGATACAAATGATATAAGTGCGAGAAAGATAATTTATTATAATGATACTAGCGGACCCGACAGACGTCCTGTACACGCGGCTTAAATCAGACAACTTATAAATAAAAAAATATTGTAGTGGAACGAATTGTCAATCTAAACCATTCTCGGATCGACCTGACGACACACAAAAAATTTCATTAAAATCGGTCCAGCCGTTTAGGAGTTCGGTGACACACACGTACAGAAGAATTATATATATATAAAGATAAATAAGACAAACGTGGGCACCCGTGAACTCAATTTGCTATTGCTTAATCAAATAAAATCGGATATGGAGTAGCCGGAAGAACGTGTGGAGGCGGACGGAAGTAGGTCACGAGGAAAGTAATCAAACGGGAAATGAGTAATGGATTTGTGAAATTGAACACACGTAGCTTTCTGTGTGACAAATTGAATATACATTACAGACACAGATAAGAAAAATCAAGAATAGTTAATATCCTGAGGAAACCTACATATTTTCGGAATAATAACGGAAAAAAAATATTTCGGAGATTCGTGAAGTCCGCTCATCCGCAGTGATCTCTCTGTCCAGAGGAGGCCCTTGCCCAGCAGTGGGACATATATAGGCTGTTACTATATATCAATCTTTAAAATGTCATGGTGAAGGTTCTCTCTCTGTGTTGCCATAAACAAATAATGATGACTCCGTTTTACGACTCGCCGTTGTCAAGGTATTGGCTTCAGCACCGGCGGTCGTAGGTTCGATTCCCACACAGAACAGCTATTCGTGTGACCTATAGATCATTGTTTCGGATACGGGTGAATGTCCACGAGACATTTTATTTTTGTAAAATGTCCTTACCACAAAGGATAATGTTATCCTACGGTGAAGGATATGTTTAACAAGAAAAACAAAAGAAACCGCCGCCGTAGACCAATCGCTAAGGCACTAACATACAAAAATAAAAACCCATTGAAATCCCCCAAACAATTGATAAACTTATTTCGGCCGGTTTCAATTATCTATAGTTATTCGTTTACTGGAGATAGAATTTTGACTTAAATATTATGAAGGTAATGTCAAATACCTATCGCTAGTAACAAAATCTACAGACGGATAGAATGTTGAACCCGACCGTTAGTATTCTTGCCACACGAAACGATCATTACTACAGACGGGACTTTCAGCGTAAGCTAAACGAATCGTTCCATAGAATAGAATGTCTCCATTCACTTAGGGCCGGTACGCAATTGTCACGCACCGAGCACCAATCTGGGGCTTAGTTAATGGCCGAAATCGTCCACTTCGGCTCTAACCCTAATAAAGCCACAACCTAGAGCGTCGTATAATTAAAACGGACTAACCTTATAGCGGGGACTTAATTTAAATTAAACCTAAACTACATCACGCTGTCAATACATTGTAAAATTGTTTCTTTGCCAGATAATGGCACAAAAAATGTCCAAGTCAGTTCCATTCGCTGGTTCTTCTCAGATCGGTGGCTTTTCTTTCCCAAATACTGACGCCAGTTCTTCTCAGGTCGTTGGCTTTTTTTCCCCGAACCGGTAGTAGTATTTTGACAATCATTAAATGAGTAATCCTTCTATATTGAACAAATAATCGAATTTGGATTTGCGCAAATTCAATGGTTGAATGCCTTAAGTATTTATTTAAGTATTTATATATAGAAATCAATTTCACCATTCGTACTATTGATTTAACAAACATCAAGGAATAAGTTGGATTAGGTGAACGTAATGGATTCATAAATAAATACAAAAGCTTTGCATAGAAAATATTGTCAAAGTTTGACGTATTTTCTATCGCAGTTAGTAATTTATATTTGCGAGAATTTCCAAGCGAAACCATACCAAAATTAATCCTGATAATGATCGACCCGACTACATAGTAATGAATAAAATGAATGCATTTTATAAACATCTTTCTCCGTAATGCCTTATAATTCCATTACCTATTCTCACAGGCAATTTCCAGCCTGTAATAGAATCCCCAACTGTATAATTTGCAACTACTTGAATTACCATGGTTGGGCGTAAACAAGTTAGCACCGTGCGATTTGCCATTAGCTTTCTTTTACTATCATTAAATTCATTGCTATCTTGTCAACTAGAAAGAAGACAAATTATTACAAACAAAACCTTAACAAGTCCATTTTTTTTTATTAACAAAAAACAAAACCGATTTCGAAATCTCGCTCTGTACTCATTTTATGTTTGATTTTCAGAAATTCCATATGTATCTCCGGAGCCCAAGATCCAATACCAACGAATATGCGACCACATGGGAAGCACCGGTTTAAAAAAAATAAATAAAAAAAAATCATCAAAATCGGTTCATTCATTCGAAAGTTCCGAGGTAACAAAAATAAGAAAAAAAATAACAATCGAATTGAGAACCTCCTCCTTTTTTGAAGTCGATTGAGAATACATAACAATTAGTGTTAGGAGGCCTTTTAAACACGCGGTTCCCTTTCAATACTTCTTCTGATGAATTTAGATAGACATCAAACAAAGATCGAAAAGACGATGCCCAAATGAAAGTATGCATATTATTTTATGTAATATTTCGAAAAACCTCAATAACTAAAACTCAATAAAACTTCCCATTACAAATCGCAAACTTTTTCTGCCGAGTAATGAATCACAGTTTGCATGCACAAAGCTTTCACGGCGGGAGGGGAGCGAACAATAAATTGATATTTATCTACCATCCAGACATCTGAGGCTGGGTACATAGGACGCCGCTTTTACGGTAAATCATAAGATATCGCGACTTTTACGAGGGAAATTACATCCCCTGTTTTATGCGCATTAATTTCCCTTCCCGCTCCGGGCTTTAATATGAATTCGCTGTTAAGTTATTATCAGACGATTAGTGTAAGTGTAATAAGATGAATAACGTTTCTAATATCTAACATATTAATTGTCATAAAACCACATAACTATAAACCACGATACATCGTCGACAAAATATCTCTAGATGACGTAGATAAGGTAATAGAAAATACTTGACGAAGACGAACTCTGAAATGCAAATTCTCTGGTGGTTGGAAAAATAAGGATGTACTCACATTTTCCTCAACAGTCTTCTTGATCTTAGCACCGGCCTCGCTCACTTTGGCACCGGCCTTGTTGACGGCCGAGTACAGGAAGTTGCCAAGCGACTTGGCACCCGCTACGGCTTTGGTCGTCACTGCCAAATTGAGACGATCGTCAAAAATTGGGCCCCTGGCAAACTGGCAGGCAAACACTCTTTCTTAAGAACACATGTTCTTTGTTCTAAGCTCCAAATCAGACGCAAAAATTATCTTAAGAGGGACTCAACGAATTGTTAACCAATTTTAACCAGAAAATTCAAATATAAGTAAATTCCGATTCACCAAACTAAGATAAAAATAAGTTCGACTTGAGTCTTACGACTGTAACAAGACGTCTCTTGGGAAATTATATACGAAACTAGAAACATTTTGAGGTCATACTATCAAGTAAAATATAAGTCGGCGAATAAAACAGAAATTTATTTAACTTCTGCACGGAACTTGTTATTATTTCAACATAGTAGTATTTCACAAATGTATTCACAACTGCTGTATCTTACTTTCAGTTCAATGATTTTTATATTATTTTAACTCGCTCGCAGTAGAAGCGTTTCCTTTATGTAATATCACGATATACTATATTTTAGTCTTCTTATCATTACAAAATACAATCATAAGTATTTACAATTATTAAACAATTCATATGGTAAATAGCATGAGATATCATAAGGCATGGAATTTAGTAAGATGCATGAAAACTTAACAGACAAATAATAGTTTAAAAAGTCAAAATAAAAAAGAAAAACATACTAACATTCTTGCATATCAGGCACTTCTATTGCATCAACTGAGAACAACTTTTTATTTGCAGGCCCTGGAACTGTGCAACACAGGAGAGAAATATAATATAGCGACTACAACTGAAAAAAAAAACTACAAAGAAAACAATGGTTTAATAGCAATGATGTCTCAGTTATAAAGCTTTACCTTAACGTAAACGACATGTGTTTAATGGCGTACAAACATATTTAATATCTGTACATAATGTAATAAATAACATCGAAAAATGCCGAGATAATTTTTGCGGATCAATTATTATAAATAATTATTTTCAATTATTGTAAATAATATATTTATATCTTTATAGTATGTTATGTCCGACAAATGGTTCAAACTACTAAAAATTCGGTTTTAGATCGAATGTGCCATAAAGAACCACAATGGTCCGAGGTATGAACCCTGTGTTACGCTCGTATTATTTCCCCGACCCGTACGAACATAGCATAAACTTTGTAACGGCATCGTTAGCAGTAGTGATATAGGAGGTGGAGGTCGGGTTGGTCTCGTTAACTGGAAGCAAGCTTTCTACAAAATTGAAAATGGAACGATGTTGAACTTTAAAAGCTAGAGGAACATAAACGACGTTGGTCTACCTACGCTACGGAGAAAATAATTTGTGCCATGATTGCGTATACGGATACGTATTTAAGAAGGATCTTCATTTATTGGATTCGTGAAGTGGTTCTTTCGAAAAGTTATTATTCGCGTAAATATAAAACATAGTAATGATGACTCGTTTAGAAATGAACACGACTAAAAATTTAAGAGAATGGACGAATGGCGGACGAGCTGACCAGCAAGCGCAACACTTAAGAAGTTTGTGTCTTTTTGATTTTATCCAAATACTGACCTTTGCTTGACTACCATCTATCTGATTGTCACTAATGATTTAATCTTAGATCAATATCTAAGATTACATCATTAGTGACCATCAGATGATTGTTTCAATAAACACTAGCTCAGTTCACTCTTGTCTGGAAGATGCATTATAATCAGACGGGAAATCTGACAATGACAAAAGGATCTGGTTTTTCTACTTCACGACTCCAAAAGCGATACATCGCCGGCCGTGCAGGCCCATACCTACAACAGCCATTGCCACCACATGTCTCTACCCCACACATTCTAATGAAAGCATGAAGGGGCATCTACAACTACATTCCCACTTACCATCACAAACGATAGTAGTCTGCTATCCGATAAAATGCATGTAACTAACAAGAAATAGAAGGATTTTGAACGAATTTAGAATTCAGTATACGCACCATTCCCCACTCCTCCCGCTTGCTCCTCAGTGGGGTGCCACCAGTGGACGCTGGTCTGCTGTCGGCCCCACCAGTAGCGCTGCGTGAAGATACCGAATTTAGTTATGATGTACAGCAACCACATTACGAACTTTAAGGCAGCCTACCTCATTCGAAATATGTTCATGCGATACTGTGTCCAACTCAGACATACATACTCGGTTAAGTATCAGAAAACACGTCAAAACGATTTTAAATTATAAAACGCGCAATATATATATATATATATATATATATATATATATATATATATATATATATATATATATATATATATATAAGTACGCACTAGAATTAGCTAATTATTGCGTACATTGCGCATTTTTTTAAGTACAAATAATATCACCGGAACGGTGCGATCGAACCCAGGTGTTATGAAATAGATCACAAATACTCTAAAAATGTCAGTCAAAATCGAAACGTTGGTTATACAGACTCGTCAACTGACACTTTCAATCGGAGGACAAACTGAAATAGATCGATTGATCGAAACAGAATTATAAGCAAATGGATTTAAAGTACGGTCACGGATCTTTAAAAATGGATTGGGATCGTTTAATGCGTTCCTCCATTAGGGAGCCGATCTTCACAAAGAGAAACCGTTCCTATCTGGAATGCAACTCAACTCCTGCTGTATCACGAAATGCTATGGACGTTAGCGATCGCTTATCATCAGGTAAGTCTCCAGCCACAGTTTTCTAACTCTTGCCCTCATCCCAGTGGAGTCGGCGCGACATGTGAACCATGTTGATAGGGGTACTGGCTGCATTATTTAATACTAGCTGCTGCCCGCGACTACGCTTGCGTAGCATAGGCTAAAGGCGTAACATTCGGACAGAAAGACAGATATACATAAAAATATGTACATAAATAATAGCCAATGTGTTATTCTGATGTATAAGCTATATTATTGTAAAGTCCCATTAAAATCCATTCAGTAGTATTTGCGTGAAAGAGTAACAAACATCCATCCATTCATACTTACGACCGACCCGGTCTGACGTCAAACCTTGTCGTAGATATCCAAATCCGTAACAATCAGAACATACACATACTAAAATAATATATATTACAGTAAGGCTTGGTCAATCTAGCTGCCGGTTATATCAATGATCAGACAAAACGCATAGATATAAGCAGTTTTACTTCACTCGGGCATTCCGAAGCATTTCTTCAAAGGTAAAACGTTTCTCCAAAGCTCTTCAAAGAGCTATAATTTACAAATCTAATAGGATTACAATAATTTAGATCGTTTCGCGGCGAAATTTTCGCAATTCACGCATCGGATAAACTGTACGCGTATCGATTTTGAGGGACAACATAAATACGCGTTTGTAATGATCTACGCGACTGCATTGCGGTCGCAATGGGGATTATTAGGCCATGCCCTCGATTGTATGACCCGCTGTATGTGATAGCGCGTCATTTATGAGAAACAGTTTTCAGGCGATCGTCTCGTTCACGGTGGACCTCGCCCAACGAAAATCAAATGCTACAAAATCCGTGACATCACTACATAGTATGAAACAAAGTCGTCCCGGTGTCTGTCTGTCCCTATTTATGCTTAGATCTTTAAAAGTTGTAACATCCTCCCCGACTCCACCAGTGGGAGATCGGTGTAGGGGTTCGCTCCGGCTGACTCAATCGGACCGATCGAGACCAAGAGATCGAGTCACGGGGACGGACAGAATTTATATTAAATAGGCGCCAGCCCGCCCCGTGCAAGACAGAATAATGCTTATTCTAAGGGATTTACTTAGTGGAAATAAAAGATACATTCCTTAACAGTTTTAGATTTTATTGAAACAAGGTTTGAATATAAAACTAAACTATATCAAGTTAAAAATATAGAAGGAGTGAGATCTCACCGATCAGGCATAATAATAGTTACATTAAGAGTTAAGTATACATTAAATTAATCACTGTCACAAAGCAGTATATAAATATAATCATGAGGTTAATGGCTAGTTAGATTAGAGCAACCACATACCAGAAGGAAACATAACCAGGCTTGCCTTCCCACTTTCCAAATAAGGGTGAAGACCTCAGATCAGCAATGCTCACATGCCACCGAGGGGCATTCAGCTAGTCCGCGGCTTCAAGTTACCCGTGGACAGCAGGATCTCAGTTTCTTAATATATATGCAGTTGCATATAAGGCGAACACGCGGTTCGATATCAAGCCATCAGAGAGAAGCAGATCAGAGTGATACGAGGTAGCATTAAAGAAGAAAGAGAAACCAATAAAAAAAAAAAAAAAACCCTGTAACAAAATACCAATTGTTAACAAACGAATAATGGACCGAAAACAGTCAGATCCCAAAAATATATGCACAAAGGAAACTTACCAACGATGTGGGTTTTTATATAAAATATAAAGGCCAAGAAGCCATATACAAGTAGGATGTAAAAGGATGTGGCCTAGGATGCCACATACTCCTTTCCTACATTCTCGAACTATGCAGAGGCGCTGCCGCCAGGCGGCGGCCGCCTCAGACCTCCAATAAGAAATGATCAAGACGAAGCTGACTGCCGTTCTCGCAGGAACGAAAGATGATACAAACAACAGACTATGTTAAACAAGACAATGTTTCTAATCGAAAATTATGTAAAAACAAATTTGCTTGATATCAGTTCAACATAATTAAAATGATAGTATTTTATATTTATATTTTATTGTCTTATATATAATATATAAGACAATAAAATCACTAGTACCGAAATAATCTAAGGAAATAAACAAAGACAAAACAACAAGGTGACCTAACGCCATCTATGATAAATGAAATATAGATTTGCTAAGGATCCCATTCAACTAAATTGTATTGTGTACGATAGATATCGCTATACGATCCACTATGGATTGCCAATATAAGGCACTCGAATCTTAAGGGTACGAGGCGTCGAAAAAAAAGTGTTACAAAGTACGCAACGGATCTTGATGAGTTTTTTTTTTACTAGATAGAGGGATTCAAGAGGAAGGTTTATATGTATAATACATTGCACTCGTGCGAAGCCGGGGCGGGTAGCTAGTCTCACATAAAAAAATATACCACCGAATGACTACCGACCACTACCTATGTAGTGAACATGGCAAGCAAGCTGGCGGTTAACCTGATATTAAGCGATAACCGCCGCCGATGGACATTTGCAACACCCGTAGGGTCGCGGATAAGTTTCCCACCTTTTAACAAAGTAGACTCCGGTTACCTCACCAGAGGAACCGCAGAAGCATAACGCTTTCACTTCACGCCGGTTTTCTCGGTCTGCGAGGTCGTGATACTTCGCCGGTCCAAGCTGCACATTCGCGTGGCCTTACCTTCCAGCATTAACGAAGCAGTAACAGTCAAAATAAATCTAAACCATCCCTTCAATATGTCAGGTTCGCGATAGTTACCGCTCCCTCAATTATCCCACCGAAACAAATCCAGAATGGTTCGACAAAAGTAAGTCGCGCGCTCCCTCCTACATCCCACATCCATTCCTACAGAATGACTCAGCTAAAGTAAATATTACGTAACGCATCGCGTCATAGGATTATAATTTGTGTCATCTGCTATCGCTTACTATCGGTTACAAAGACAATTCACTTTACGAAAGTATGTATGAAAGAAACTAGACATAAAACGAACTCGCGGTTATAGTCACATGGGACATAGTAAAGTGCCACTGGTCCCACAGCAACCTATAAATGTCCCACTGCTGGGCAAAGATCTCTATACAGAGGGTATTAGGACATAGTCCATCACGCGACCCCACTGCGGATTGGGGGATTTCACTTATCATCGAAACACATTTTTTTTTGTTATTATTTCGAAAATATGCAGGTTTCCTTCACCGCTGAGCACGTGATAAGTGAGCACTTAATATTAACATCATTTCATCAGAGCCGGCACCGGGGATTACACAACTATCGAACGAGTATATTGAATCAAAAAACGAACGCCCGGAAAATGAGGTGGCCTTTATTGAATTCCGTAGATTCTACTTCGAAGCACATGTTTTAGGAAATACCGCCCATGGACACCTACAACACCTGAGCTATTGCAGATCCTATGACAACCTTTAAAAAAGTGCTCACACGAAGTCACGCGAAAGTGCAATAATTCCACTTACCGTACTGGGAGGCGGTAGTCCCGTGACGAGCCTGCCCATTCGTGCAACAGCGAAATATGTCGTGTGGCCCTAGCACGGTTGTAACATGACGTCATTACCTCGCCTGTGATGTAACTACTAAGCAAGTCATCTCTTAGTTGTTACGTCACTATTGTAAGCTAATGCGCTGTCACTCCCTGTCCTCACAGACACATCACAGACTAAAATAATCACGATTCACGATAAAATAAGTTAAGACCTAAATCAGTCGAAGAACTGCACAATATTTTATATATACTTTCGACAACGGAAATAACACCAGTGAAATTAGATCTTATAAGTGCGTAACATTTTTTTATTCGACTGTATTTCAGTATTTTCGTTTTCAATGTCTGTACGAACAGATTATCAATATTTCGGTACAGTAAAATGCACTTTGAAAATACAGATAAATCGAAAACAAGAAACACCATTTGTAAATTAATCTCAAATCGTTATTTATCTATTTGTGTGTTAGTCTTTTTTTTATTGTAACTTTAAAAAATACACTTCTATTAAAAAAGCAGAAAAAAATTTGTTTCGATATTTATTACTTGACTTGTCTCATAGCTCATATAACGCTCATATTCGATAATTAAAGTATAAATGTCCGCGCGTTGCCGTGGATTTTAATTATATAAAATCGTGGTGGTAGATAGAACTTGTTTTTTTTCTCTCGTAGACCACACCCTAAAATTTTAGGTCTTTGCATTTAACTAGGAATAATGTAATATGTATCTTCTGCTATTTTATCTACGTCAAAAAAGGAAACATTATACAAATATTTCGAAGACGTAAACTATGAATACGACATGACAAACCATAAAGTCGTGACATTTTTAAATGTTCTTTTTCAATGTTAGAGGTATGGAAAACATGATACCATTATGCACAAGATATAACTAAAAAAATGGGGTTTGAGCAGAATTAATGAGTGCACAAAATTGTATGCCCTTGGAAATTAAAAAATTATTGTAATAAAAATTTCTTTAGATATTATGTAATGTAATAAGATATTAATGTTACTCAGTGTAATTAAATTGCCTATTTCAGATGACTTAAAAAGTAAAATAATTTGAATGATGTAACTTTCATGAACAACAAAATTAAAAAGCTTTTCAAATTACAATATGTAGAAGAAAAGTAAATGAAATTTTGAAAATGGTATGTGAAAAATGTTCCCAATATTCCTAATAAGCGAAATTAATTTGAGATTTTGAGCAATTTTTAAATGTCTAATCAGTGAGTGCTATTTAAATGAGATACTTAAAGAAAATTGTGACACAGACAACAAAAGCGTCCCCAATTGTACTAAGCTAGTGTGCACAATTTAACATAAAAAAGCAGATTTTGTCAAAAAAAAAAGAAGTTAAAATGCTGTTTTATTTTTTTTTTTTATATTAAAGGTGTCATTTCTATATCTAACAAAAGCTCCAATAGTTTTGTTCATCCTTTTGGATTGCAAAGAAATTTACAGTTCTCAGAAGATAATTTCTACGTATAATATCAATTCGTTTTCTTCTATATTTTTTTGTGATCTTCAGTTGTAACTTTCTAGTTATCACCAAAATGATTTTATTGATTATGTAATACCTTTGGTATCAAAAGACAGTATAAAGAAAGTTGTGCAAAACTAATAGAAATGACACACAAGCAAGGATATTATAGAATCTGTGCAAGCTCATTGCATCTGCCAAACCCCTCGTACCTATTATACCTGGAGTTATCATCATCATCCTTCCCCTCCGCCTTTGGTTCAGCAGCTTCAGCTACCTCAGGGGCAGTAGCCTCTGCAGGTTCTGCGGGCGTGGCCTCATTTTTCCGTAACCCTGGTATTGGGATGCCCGATCCGAGCCAGCCAGTCATTTGTGACTTAACATTGGTGATCAGATCCAGCTTGCTGCCCCCCTTTGTTGGACTGTAAGAATAAATAGAATGAATTTCCTGGAACTTCACAACTATAAATCAGTTACATAATGGTGTGACCAATAATTTCTCATCAAACCTTTAAGAACATGTTACATAATTAATCCCTCAACCCAAAAACCTATAGTTTAATGCCTCTTTTTATTTTATCTTAAAGACCTAAATGCATGTGCCTCTGAGACCAATATACTTATTTTACACACCGTCCCGTCATATCAGAATGAAGACTTGTATCATTTGAAGTTTGACCCCATTTACTACAGACTGGATCAGTATTATGCAACATTCTTGTCCTGATGGTAAAAGTTGATATTCATAAAAAAAATCATGGGACAGTATGAAAAACCTACAGGAAAACAAATGTAACTTATAAGCATACATCTTTGATGACATTAGTTTGCTATAATGAGACAGGAAAGGGCCATAAATCTATTCAGTTTTCCAATTTAAATCACCACCTAGGAATATAGTATCAAATCGATAATTACAAAGTAAGCAAATAAAATGCATGCCTTTGTTTTTCGCCTTCTGGTTGCTCTCCAGTCGCGTCCTTGGTCGGAGTGGGCACCTCTTCGTCTTGGGGCTCGCCCTTAGCCGCTCCCATCCACGAAGATACCTGATTCGTGAGCCCTGAAAACATCTTCTCTGGCACTAGCTAATCAACTACACGGACACAAATAAGCGACTCTTACTACGCCGCGGCAGTTTCAGACATGACACGCGCGAGATGTCTGCAGGGCGGCTGTAGGGTGCGTGATCAGCTGAAAAACTAAATGGAACACCGCAATCGACCAGCGTACATCGAGAATGTCGTCATTGCGCATGAGAACTTGCGCAGCTTGAATTTAAGCTTATAACTTAGTCGAGTCGCAATCTACCAAATATCATTAAACGTCAAATACGCTAAGTTTGTGTCTTTTTGTGACAAAACAAACTGATTGTCAAAATTGATATAAAAAACAATTAACATTAGAACACAGACTTCTTCGGTCTTCCCCATAACAAATTCAATTTTCTCAATTTAAATTGTTGTGGATAAATAATTATTACGGTAGCTAATACTTTAATCCATGCGTAATACTCAGACGGCTGCTAACATTATAAAAAACTTTTATATTAGATAAAAAAAATTATCAAGTTGTGTGTTTTTTGAATAATAAAATCTCAGAAAACATTCAAAATTAATCAGTTGCTAAAAAAAATGCAAACGAAGGTTTATGTGTTTAAGGGTAAAAACGTTAATAAATTGATCACTCCAGACTTTCAAGTGGTTTTTATATTGTAAACATGATTTTTTTGTAAAATAATGTTTAAAAAAGGAAAAAAAATCCCACTAAATTTCTTTCGCCGGTTCTTCTTAGTAGTAGTATTTTGACAATGAATAAGTTAGTGTATTGTTTCTATATTAAGATATATGAATTTGATTTTGAATAAAAAGTGCAAATGTCTATCCCTATTTTATTAAACATGAGTTTCACTAAGGAAATAATATCCTGCTTCATAATTCTTTATGTAAGAAGATGGCAAACTGGATTTTGATGACTCCGTGGTGCAGTTGCCAAGGTAAGGCTTCGGCGTTGGTTCGTTATTTCGCATCTGGGTGTTTGTCTGCGTGATATTTGTAAAACGTCCTTACAACATAGGACAATGTTATCCTAAAGTAAGGGCAATATTTTTAAAACAATATAAAAAAAGAAAACGAGCTGGTGGCAGTTCACCTAATGTTAAGTGATAACCGCCGCCCATTGACATTTGCAACGCCTGTAGAGATTTAAGAGCGTTGTCACATTATTCTGTAGCGAGCCCCGGCTACTTCACTCACCAGGCAAAACGGAGAACTATAACACTTCTAATTTACACCGGTCTTCTGTGAGGTCGTGGTACTTACCCGCACAGACTTTGTGTAACAGCGAAAAATGCTTCGTGGCTTACCAGAGTACAAAATATGAAATATTGGGTAGAAGGTAAAATTTTCGATGGCAGTACAAGCCGTGGTTCACCTGGTATGAAGTGGTCCACTATCCATGGACATCTAAAACATCTGACAGGTTAAGCCTCAGATCCAGACCATCTCGCCAAACGCGAAAGTATTTATACTAGTTTGCGGAGATGCAGTGTAGGGGATTGTGCAATTGTGTCGTCATTGTGCATCTGATTCGTTGTTTCTCCTGACTCCTCAGGACCGCGAACCTTTCAAAGCCACCAAACTATTTGCAAACTTTAGTGCAACCCTTACACAAAAAATGGGCAGAACAAAAACTCTGATTGAGAACAACAACTGTTTATAGGTCACACGTTTTTTTCAACATTGCGATCTCAAATCAATGCGCCCAATAGTAATTGGTGTGGTAACTTTTATTTAAACTATCATATAGGGGCAGAGAAATTTTGAAACATTTGTTTATTTATATTTTATTGCAAAAAAGGTTCCATTTGTATTATTTCACATTATAATGATATATGAAAAAAAAACCCATGATTACAATTATTACAATAGGTGTCGGTATACCTTAAAAAAAATTGAAACTGGCAGGAAGTTTATAGCTCTAGCCATTTTAAAAAAACAAGTTGTATTGACAGATGAATGATATTTGTGACGTTTTCAGCATAGATATTTATGTTCATATACTTTTTTATTTGTTCTAATGTAATTAAATAAATATCATTTAAACTATCACCAAATGTAGTTAATAGCTACGTTAGTGTTTATAAGCTTTCTTAGGGATAGTGATTTATAAGAAAGCACAAAATTACCAATATGACGGAGACGCGTCGATTACAATTGCACCTTGGAAAATGTATCGAAGATTTAGACAAATTACACAACGTTCCAGACCTAAAATCAAAAAGAGCAACATTGTAAGTAGTTTAACGTGTTTAGCTTAAGAATAAGCAAATCAGAAAATTACAGACAACTTATTACAGGTTATGCAAAACTGCACAAAAATTGTTTGAGAAAGCAGAAGAAGAGCGGACAAGAGGCGATGAGGAAAATTCTTACGTGTATTACATGAAATACCTGCGTGTTATAGCATTCATTAGCAAGGACAAAGAATATTTGAAGGACAAAACTTACTTCAATAACATGCTGGGGTCAAAGAACCCTAATAAAGCTATTGATGCTGCTGAAAAACTTAAAAATAGCCTAATTGATAGGTAAGTATATTTTTATTGATTTTAAATTTTTTTAAACTTGAATGTCTGGTAATTGATATTATGTTGGTAGGTAAAGTTGGCGAAATAAATAGAAATGTTATTGAAGTTATTAAAATAATTTTCAAATATTAGTCTCAATTTGAACTACTCTAAATGTGTGTGAATTTTTTTCCTGAAAATTTCCTGTTTCTCAACCAACTTTATATTTATTAATTTTTAAAATCAGTTCATAAATAACAGAGTTCTCTGTTTTTTATGAACCAATTTTAAAAATTCTTTTTGCATTGGATTTGTTTTGCTCCCATGTGGTCCCATAATAATTTGATTAGTATTGGACTTTGGATTCTCCTCAAAATGAATTCATATTAAAACGGCCATAGGAAAAATTTATTTATCTCTAAAGTATTGTGTTGGACTCAAGCTGTGTGTAAAAAAATCTATAGTTGCTTCTCATCATCATCCTGCTGCCCTTATACCACCTAGGTGGGGTCGGCACAACATGTGAATCACGTTGTAAGCAGTTTTGGCTATATTTTTACAACCGGCTGCCTGCCTGACCTCAACCCCTCCTTGGGTAACAAACGCCCAGATCTGGAACAATTATATGTGGGTCACTCAAATACTAGTCCCATGTGGGAAACAAAACTATGACCCCCGACATCGAAGCCAATAGTGTAGCCTCTGCTCCATTGAGTCAACATATAGTTTACTCTGCATTGTGTAAATAATCTGAATTAAAAGTTTCAATATTATTTTGAGGAACATGGCTTGGCTTTCTTTCAATATTTTAATTTATTCAAATTAATCTGTTAATTATTAATTATATCTAGAAACTAATAATTAACTGTCTCAGTGCAAAAATGCCAATGGCGGCTTCATATTACTTTACGTTATATTAACCGTATCCATAGATTGTCTATTTTTAGGATTGTGTATTACACAAGTCTAAGTAGTAATATTAAGATGACCTAGAAGTTTCATTCAATAGACGCTTATGTAAATGAGTCTTTTTACGCATCTTTATTTTTTGCAGGTACGCTAAGGAACAGAAAGCGAAACGCTTGCATGATATCAAAGAAAATGAACTGATTAAACAGAAAATTGATGAAAACAGAAAGAAAGCAATAGAAGCTATTGCTGTTCATGAACAACCACAGACTATCGGACTCCCTGGTTAGATTTTTTTTATAGTGCTAATCTCTGCACTTAAGATTGAACATTAAAACATGTACTTATACTACTTCTACATGTTACCGTCACTTAATTATTTATTCGATTATCTTTTAATATAGTACTTACTTACTTACAACTTATTTTCTGGCCTTAGCTTGTTATTCATAAACTAATCAAATTATAATCAGACGAATAGAGTGTTAATTATTGAGAAAGGAAAAGAAGAAGATACAAGAAGATACATAAATATTTAATTTATTTTTCTTTTCTTTTCGGATAATAATTTATCTATGCTTGTCTCATAATAATTTAATGACTAAATAGTAATAAAATTAATCAATTCACTTTTAGTGGCAAATATCAATATCAATGAATTGTCTTTTTTTGATTGTGCTTGTTGTATTAATCAACTGGGCTAATTAAATTGATCAGTGTTTACAATTCACATTTGTTTATAAAATTACCACTTTCTACCATAAAAAAGTAACTTTATACTACATTTGCTTAAATTGTTATGTAATAAATAAAATAACAAAGGATTGTTACATTAAAAAGGGATCTAACTAATCTGAACTGTTGATTGCAGGACCGGACGAGGTGACGATAAAAAGTGAGCAACTGTATGCAATCCTGAAGTCCGGCAAGCTGAAAGTCATGATACTAGACGCGCGACCCGGCAAGGACTACTTGGAATCGCATATCAACTACCCGGCATGTATCAGTGTACCAGAGGAATCTATTTCGCCAGGGTAAGATTGCTACAATTATTTCCCTTCACATGCTTATACAGCGTGTCGTTACCATCGCGACAATAAATGAACACACGTCTAACGCTACTTGCCAATAATCATATAAAATTATTAATGCTATTATATATTAAAAAAATATATTTTTCAAATAAACTAATTAAGTAATAAAGGAACAAAATTTATAACATCATATACAACTCGCCCCACAGCGTCGCATTATAAGCCTCTCCTTCTAACAGTATGTTTTGTCTCTTTTAAATTCATTCAATCCATTCATATGCTATGTGACCTTTACAAATGAACTTTACGTTACAGTTTTATATGTAAGGTTGTTCTAAAATTCTTTGTTTTGGAAAATTTTATAACTCTGTAAATATTGATGTTTAAAGAATGTTAAACATTTACATACAATTTTACATTTTACAATTTTAAATATAACATACAATTTTAAAAAGTTATCCCCTATATGTGTATTCATTTATTGTCGCGATTGTAAAGGCACTCTGTATACATTATAAATTACATCTCACTTTAACCATGCCAGAATAATTTTTCTGGAAGTTTTTGGTGGTTTTGTGATAGTTCAGACATCTTGTGATCAAAGGGATGATAAATGTGGGCAAACCCTTCCTTATTGTAATGCATTACAAATGGAATTATGGAATTATCATATGATAGGATATGTATGCAGATGTGGTATGCAATTTTGACATTATTTAGAAAAATAATTTGTGTAGTTCTGTGGTAGCATTGCGCAATCCTTTCTACTGTTGCACAAATGGGCCGGAGCGTCTGGAGAAGTACCAAGGCTTCACAGAAGACTGGAGTGAAGTGAAAGTATTTAACTTTCGCATTTTGTCTGTTGAGTGAGGTAACCAGGGCCCACTTTTTTGAAGATGGCGGCAATATTTACTTTATATCACGTGAAACGCCTGCTTGATTGACAACTATTAACATTTAAAAAAATGTAGCAGTGGTCTACTAAAACATAAATCACATCCACAAATAATTTATTTCTATATATAAGGCAAAAGCCTCGAAGGCATTAGGTTAGGTTGAATCCCAACGGACTACACCAATGATATTTGCATTAAGCATAGTGTTTTTATGGAAAACTACTGTCTCAAATTTGTGACGACAGGTTTATTATCTGTCACGCTGGAGATGTAACAATGGCAGTGAAGCGAGGAAAGCTTCTTTATATGTTTCATGTGGGCTAGTCAAGTTCTTACACTTTTGTCTCATTTCAAATCTCTGATTAATAATAAATATACTATATTTGTCATTTCACTTTGTCCCCACATTATTATTGGAAGAGTACAGTTTGATGATGTTCATCCACAGTCAATCGGCGAATGTCCTGGAACAAAACCTGCCTTCGGCATCCAGACTGGTGTGGGCAGAGCGTGCGGCCATGGAGCTTATTGTAATGCTAGATTGGAGCAGCACTACGGTCATTCCAGGCAAAACGCTCCACCTACTGAAGACCATACTCCTCAGGGTATGAATAATATAGTTAAAATAAATAGCATGTTTATCTAGGATAGCTAGTTCGGTTAAGTAAGCACCAACTTAGAATGCAGAGGTCAATCGGCGAAACCAACTCGTATCTATCACATATCTTCTCGTCTATTATCCCTCAATGGTTGAAGGCCAAAGTCTTCATTCAATATGTGTTGCCAGTGGTGACTCATGAAACCGAGACATGGTCTTTCACTGCTGGCCGTATGATGAAGCAAACTCCCCCTTGAGCGTATCGCCAGATCGATTATGACTACCGCCCATGTTGTTTCTTGATGTAAAAATCCTTATTCGCTTCACAAGTAGCATTTTATCACGTTTTTCTGTCGGCATTTAATGTGCCGTGTATAAATCAACGACTTTAGTTAAGAAAAATCACTTTACCAGTTCATGTTTTCCAGAAGTCAATGTAAGATAGTGTAATAATCTTTATTAACACTTTCCAAATTGTTTTTGTTTGTTTTTAATAAAAACTATTATTAAAAATACTATCATTATGTCATTATTGTTATATTCACGAAATGTCAAAAAATGGATTATTTCATACTACTACCTAATGGATAATTTATTATTTTATGTTTGAAAATATACTTATATCCATAAATTGTCTATTCATACTATAGAACCTGCTGCCATATAAAGTATCTTTTTTTTTTTTTTTTCCTATTGCAATCTATCAATTTGTAGATATTCAGCAATATGTATAAAATGAGAAGGGCTTGCACGATAGCAGTCCAGTGACTGCTCCGTTGATTCATGTGCCTTTCAGAGAAGGTCTTGGGGAATCTTTCTCTTTAGTGTACGAGCCACTGTTTGGGTGTTCATTAGATTGACTGCCAGCATATTTGGATGATTAGTGATTCGCTTCTTGTACGCTTTAATCCTTTCGGAGATTTCTTCTATGACTCTTTTGACGCAGAGGTGGTGATGGAGTCTAATGTTAGAGATATACCAAGGTGCGTTTGTTATTATTCTTAATATCTTTGTCTGGAATCTCTGTATAATTTCAATGTTGGATTTTGCTGCTGTTCCCCAGAGTTCTAGGCCATATGTCCATATAGGTTTTATTATGCATTTATATAGCAATAGCTTGTTTTGAAGTGAGAGTCGTGATTTTTTATTAAATAGCCAGTACATAGTACGTAACTGTTGGCCCATAGCTAATCGCTTTGTGAAAATATGCTTTTTCCAGGTTAGGCGTCTATCTAAGTATATTCCAAGATACTTGACGTGATCCTCTTGGGGTAGAGGTATGCCATTTAGAGTGACGGGTGGACATGTTTCTTTCCTGTTTGTAAAAGTAACTTGGACGGATTTGGTTTCGTTGGCTTTGATTCGCCAGTCTTTGAGCTATTTGGATAATTGATCAAGACTGTTTTGAAGCTTTTGTGCTGCAATGTCTGGTGAATTGTCCATGGATATGATTGCTGTGTGCCATATAAAATAAACATATTTCATTAAAGCTATTAATTGGTTTATAATAAATAAAAATAAAAGAAAAATTATCTTTGTTTACAGTGGGACGTAAAAGTTCAGTACGCCCGTCCACCCCTAGCGTTGCTGGGGGGGTACGAAGACTGGCTCCTGAAGTATCCAGCGTTCACCACGAACCCTCAAGCCATCCCTCCCAGCCAGGACAGCATGCTCGATGATATGCTTGGTGAGCAATTGGACTAAAGTGAAATGATTTCTGGACATCTCTGATAGATGCGCCAAGCATTGTTTAAAACGTCAAAAAAATGTTCGATTCCCACAGCGGCGAAAAAATTTTCATACCATTTTTAAAAATAATGAATCTAGTATTATTTTCTACATTGCATTCATTGAACACTGACAGAAATTATCAGTATGTTTTGAATTTGCTTAATAGTCCAGGGTAACATAATATATATAAATATTAACTAACCAACAGAAAAAAAATTAGTTGTTTAGTAATTACTTTTCATGACCTTGTTACACATGTTGGAGAGGGGGGACCCTTTGATAAAACTTTGAATTTTGTTAGTAATAAAAGGTGAAAATGGGCCTGGCACCCAGACTATAATGGAAATTCAAATTGTAAGATTTTTATAAGATGCAAGATGTTATATTGATGTTACGGAATATAAAACCTCAATGGTTTTAGAAATAAATTTTTCTTATGATTTCCATATAGAACAAAGCATGATTACAGTACTTGGTGATAATAATAATTATAATTCTTTATTTCTTACCATAGTTTACAGGATGAGTTTTTAGACGAAGAACATACTTTGACATGACGTTAATTGAGCATTCCATAATTACAAAAAAAATTGATATTTTATTTTGACAAGAAATAACCAGAAAAATATCAATTCAGACATTGCTTGTTATCCCATTAAGAGTGGTCACCCTATTGATAAGCGGTTTAGTAATTATGCGTTCAGCGAACAGTTTTAGTGCTCGTGAATAGGTTATTGTATTGAGACGGTAAGGCAGGAATTTCTAATAGGGTGTCCATAATGTTTGAAAAAATTAAAAGTAATCTTTGAAAAAACAATGAGGTGACAAGTACGTAGTAGAATCAGGTTAAGCATCAAATTCTGCATACGCTCTGTTAATATGTCCGTCGTCTGTAAAATCATTACAAATGACCGATGCACCAAACTAAGCTTAAGGCTTGTATATTGGGTCGTCCGATCTCCTCCATTGCCGGTGTCAAAGATTCTAACGTTTGAATATTCCAGGGGAGATCGAATATCCGAACTGGTCGGATCTGAACCCACCGCCACCGCCGCCACAGGCCGCACCCACTCGACCCGTCAAGCCAGGAGAACCCGTAATCGACCGGACGAGTAAGGTAATAAATTTTAATTTTAACCAAACTACTTGAAGGTAACTAGTACATTGTGATATCTAATAAGTATGATTAACATTGCCTCACGCTATACAGGGTGGCTTTTATAAAGGTGCCCAAATTCACACAGGAGGTTCAGACTCGGTAGTATAATCGTTTATGGAAATAAAAACAAACTTTTTTTTTTTTTAAAAAAATTGCCATTGTATCCCTAAAAACAACTTGTTGACAATGCGGTAGTCATTCATAAATGCGTCGTATACTTTTGAAACGAACTTGTGTGCGTGTTAGTTATGAATGATCGCGCGTAAGATAAATGAGTTGCCCATAAATCACGCACTTTCTGAGATAAGTTAAAATGAATGTAATAATTACAAGTTATTTTAAATATTTATCATTTTTATATAACATTATTTATGTCTAGAATTTCATTAAAAAAAAATTGATACCTTTAGAAAAGCCTGCCTGTATATAGATTTTTATTACTCGATCCAATATTACCAAAATAATTTACGAATGGTTTTATAATGATGTGTAAATATTTATTTATCAACAAAAGATTTCTTATTTTGAAGAATAATGTTGTCCAGTCTACTTTGGTATATTTCAATTAAAGAATTTTCCAATAAATGGCATTATCATGCATTATTTATTAGAAAATTTCAAGCGAAAGTTTTTGGTTATAAAAACATTAACTCTATTATAATTGGCTATTATTTCGACAATGGCGGCAAATATAAGCACCAAAATGGTTTTGAATCGTTAAACTTGATGAAGTCGGGGCATACAAACAAAAAAACATCTATGAGAAATATTATATTATATTCATTTCTATATAATATTGAAAATATTATATAGAAATGAATATAATAACTCGGCGGCGCCGTTAATAAGCCATTGGATTCGGCTTCGGAGGTCGTTGGTTCGATTCCGGATCTGGAATGTTTGTTTCCCAAGGAGGCTGCGTGATTCACATGATGCGCCGACTCCACCTAGGTGTGGTATAAGGGCAGGAGCATGATGTACATGACATAGAAATAAATATTTCTGGACTTAACTTTACACAACATAATCTAATCCCAAATTGAACTTGTACTGGGTAACTGATAAGCATTCTTAAACATAATTTTGTTGTCTATATTAAAATTTAATACAGATACATAAACACCCAGATACTAGAAAAAACACTAAGTTATACACAATATTTCTTCAGCGGTGGGGATAGGACCCACTCCCTCAGGCCCAAGTGACAGGTTCATCATCCACTACGCCAATATGTTCAAATATAAAAGTCTGTTCCCTTCCTTTCAGGTGGCAGCCATGCAGCTGTACGAGGAACGAGCCCGCAACATGCAACTCATTCTAGAAGAGCAGGAGCGCATAGCTGACACCTCACTCACGCTCGAGATGCAGAGGATAGAAGCTGAACAGGTATGACCGTGATGTTGACTATCATCCTGTGTAATTCTTAATTTTTTTCCCGTATAAAGGTAGCCTTGTAAAGTTAAAAAAATGATATATAAAGTTATTCGCACATGCCATGCAAAATCACTAAACACAACAATAGAACTAATTAATGGTTCTATCAATGTAACAATAGTAAGGTATCCAGTACTGAATACTATAAACCAAGGTGATTCCTTTGACACATGTGACATTGTGTGCTGAACAAGTTAGCCAGTCAAAAAAAGCAAAAAAAATAAATCACCTAAACTTTAAAACATACACATGACTTACCTCTGCATGTTTATTAATGTAGTTTTGAAAGCGTATATTGTATTGTTCACTGAGAAAATATAATAAACAAGGTCAGAAGTCCTTTAACCTTAAGAAGTACAAATGGATTGCTAACTATTTCACGAAAGCTATTTGGAACCAAACTTTATTATAAGGTGTGCAACGCATCTGAAACCCTACGGGTGTTGCAATTTGCAATGTGCTGTGTTTGTCATTTAACATCAGGTGAACCGCCAGCTCGTTTGCCATCTTAGCACAAAAAACTGCGTGGAGTCCCTCCGCGTGGAAGAAGTGAAACTTCGAGTGCTAAGCATTCACTCTCGCTCTGTCTCTTTCTATTCCCCCTCCCCAGGAGCATTGAACGTTTAGAGCAACAGCGCTGCCATACCCCCTCCATGGTAGCGTTAAATGTTTAACGCAACAGCGCTTCCATACCCCCTCCATGGTAGTGTTAAATGATTAACGCAATAGCGCTTCCATACCCCTTCCATGGTAGCGTTAAATGTTTAACGCAACAGCGCTTCCATACCCCCTCCATGGTAGCGTTAAATGATAAACGCAACAGCGCTTCCATACCCCCTCCATGGTAGCGTTAAATGTTTAACGCAACAGCGCTTCCATACTCCCTCCATGGTAGCGTTAAACGTTTAACGCAACCCTGTCGGAAGTCGCATTAGAAGTTGCACTTCAATAGTAGAATTGACAACGAAGAAAGGTCCCGTCCGTAAATAAGTGACGGTCGCCACGCGCCCTCAGGACTGGGAGAAGGTGCGGGAGCAGCGGGAGACGGAGCCGCGGGACGAGCTGCGGGCGATGTACCAGCTCAGGGAGCAGGAGATCATCTCGCAGCTGATGCAGCTCGAGAACAAGCAGTTCGACATGGTGAGCGAAACGTGCCTTGGACATTTCTTTAGGTGCCTCCTGATTTATTTAAGAAAAATCATAATGTCTTCATTCGAAGTGAGATCTGTACAGACCGTTTTTCCACGTCATAAAAAGTAAAACACTATAATAAGGCGTTTATTAATGTGTATTTATTTTTTTACTTACTAGTTTCTGTTATCAATTCAGTGTACACCGTTACCCGATACTACTGTTTTTACTGTTTCTGTGTGTACAGTTTTGTATTATTCATTGTTTGTATACAATAAAGTATATTTCATTCATTCATTCATTCATCCATAAGGCGTTTGCCAGTATTTAAATAAATTTTAACTAAGCAAACTACGTAGTGAAAGCCGTATACTTAGAAATAGTATAAATTACATTATAAGAATTATAAAAAAAAGAAGAAAGAAAAAAGAAGAAGGTCTTGGTAATATGGTCCCGTTTTACCCTTCGCGTGCGGGACCCTAAATAGACCGTAATCACACCCGCGCCGCCTCGATCGACAGGAGCAAGAGAACCAGAGCCTCCGCGAGCAGCTGGAGGAGTACCAGCGGCGGGAGCGCGAGGAGGCGGAGAGGCTCGCGGAGGCCATCGCCCAGGGCGAAGACCGCACCAGCTCGGGTGCGGACAACCAAGGTGACACGTCTTTTTTTATGTGAGGAAGTGGCAAACGAGCCGCCGGTGCAGCTGATGCTAAGTGATAACCGCCCGTACAAGGACATTCGCAACACCCTTAGGGTTACAACTGCGTTGCCTTTGAATGAAGTGGGCCCCAGCTACCTCGCTCACCAGACGAAACGCAGAAGTGCAACACTTCTACTTGATACCGGTCTTCTGTCAGGTCCAACCTGGACCTTCTCTGTCTCCTTCTGTCAACCTGGACCTGGGACCTGCCCATTCGTGCAACAGCGAACACTGTTGCGTGGCCCTACCACCGCAAAATGTATTATTCTATGCGGAAGGGCTCTGGCACTTACGCCCCCTTCCTATATTCAACGAGCGGCCGTTAGTTACATAGACTTGTAGATTAAAGGAACGCTACTAACTCACTTTCCGTAAGAAATTCAACGGATCGTAAGGAAAACGCCTCGTTTTGTTAATATAGGAACCGTGCGTACACGACTTTTATCGTTTATAACGTTTTAGCGTTATACATAAAACGATTATGAGTAAGACTTTTTGACAATCTGTTTTTAGGGAGCTTTTAAACCTCCGACAATTTAATTATGAATAAGGCCGTTAGACTCTGTGCCTGAATCGAATTAGAAAAAATATCGTTTTTGATATGATTTCGATATTGAATATTTTGTATCGATATATCGATATTTCGATATTTTTTCGGCATCCCTAATCCTCACCTGTTACGACTTCAGAATTTAAACCATCGGATTTAGTAAGTGGGAACCTTGTAGCCGCGTATTACCACCTCAACTATCCCAGGGGGATTTTCCTTTTGTTTTGGAATGGGTTGGATAGTAAGGCACTGCGACCTGATTTTTGTAGTCTTCCCTGTACTGTAGTACATTACATTATAATCATAAACACAGAAGTACGTTTCGTACTTCTGTGTTTCGTATGGTATGTGAAGTAACTGAAGTCCGCTTTATTAGAAGGTGGCAAACTATGCAACCCTACGGGTGAATGTCCATGGTCGGCGGTTATTATTTAACATCAAGTAAACACTTCTACTGTCATTATTAACAGTAGGGTTGGCGGAGGTGTTGGCATTTATCTTCGATCCCACATACCTTTTAACTTGATCAGTGTATCGCAAGAACAGGCTATACCAGGGGCGGAGCATTTATTTATCGAGGTTATGTTATCCAACCTGAAATTACTGCTCGGTGTGTATTATAACCCTAGTCTCACAATAGATTATTTTACAGGACTCGAAAATCTGTTAGACATGTTTATCCCACAATATGAGCACTCGATTATTATGGGTGATTTTAATACTTGCCTGTTAAAAAATGACTCTCATGCATTCCGTCTCAATTCTTTAGTCAAGGCAGCAAATCTACATATTCTTCCTCTATCGGCAACGCACAACTTCCCAAATTGTTCTCCATCTCTCCTTGATCTTATTCTAGTTTCCTCAGTAGACTTTGTATTGAAACATGGTCAATGTCCTGCAGATGCCTTTTCTTACCATGATTTGCTATATTTATCCTATAAAATACGCCCACCCAAAGCTAAATCTAGAATTCTTCTCCAACGTAATTTTGGTGGTATGAACCTTGATCTTCTGCGAGAGGATGCATCTCAGATTGACTGGGCTGAAGTCCTTACTGGGGACAATACTGATGAACGGGTTGAAATTTTTAACTCTCTTTTAATGAAGCTTTATGATACCCACGCTCCAATACGCCCAGTAAGAATTAAACATCTTCCTGCTCCTTGGCTAACTGAGGATATAAAAACGCTACAACACAAAAAGAATATAGCCAAAGCTAAATATAAAACCAACGCCAGTGAAACCAACCGCATTAAATACACAAGCATTCGGAATCGATGCAACAGATTGTGTAGAGATGAACAACGACGCCATATCCATAAATCTGTACTCGAGGAAAAAGATTCCGGAAGAGTATGGAAATTTCTGAAATCCCTTGGGGTTGGGAAAGCAAATAGAAATTGTCCCTCAAATTATAGTACCTTCGATTTAAATAAGCTCAATCAGCATTTTTCCTCATTTTGTACTATTGATAGTACCTTAAAACAGAATACTAAAAATAAAATTTTAGCTTTACCCACCCCTGATGATCCCGCTTTCGTATTTAGTCAAATCGACTGCAGTGATGTTAAGAGAAGTATTATGGAAGCTAGCTCTGATGCTGTTGGTTCTGACTGCATTAGTCGTAAAATGATCACTCCTCTTCTCGATTTTCTAACTCCTGTCATTGTGTCCATCTTTAATCATTCCATCAATAGCGGTTGCTTCCCTACTTCCTGGAAGGATGCACAGATAATTCCTCTTCCTAAAAAAACGAATCCTTCCAGTTTCTCTGATTATCGGCCTATTTCCATTTTACCATTTCTATCAAAAGTTTTTCAACGCATTGTTCATAAACAATTGACTGTATTTCTTTCCAAATCCAACCTTTTAAATCCGTTTTAATCCGGTTTCCGTTCTGGTCATAGTACGACTACTGCATTAGTAAAAATTACTGATGATATCCGGTTCGGTATGGATAACCAGTGTGTAACAGTATTGACTTTACTAGATTTCAGCAACGCTTTCAATAATGTTGATTATGAGCTACTTTTAGCCATTCTCACTTCTCTAAACATATCTCCTAAGGTCGTTGACTGGTTTCACAGTTACTTGCACGGGCGCCGGCAACGGATTAAGATCGAGGAGAAGTATTCGGACTGGAGTCCGATAAATGCCGGGGTACCGCAAGGTGGCGTGTTGTCTCCTCTCCTATTCTCAATCTTCATTAGTTCAATCACTCAACATTTAACTTCTCTCTACCATCTGTATGCTGATGATCTCCAAGTCTACGCTCAATCCAAATTACCAGATTTAACCATGACAATAGATGCAGTTAATAAAGACCTAAACACCATTGTAGAATGGAGCAATTCTTATGGACTGAAGGTAAATCCATCTAAAACACAAGCTATTATTATAGGCAGCCAAAGATTGGTTTCACGTATTGACTGGGCTAATCTTCCTTGTATAGTTTTTGACGGGGTCCAATTGCAATATAGCGATACGGTTAAAAATCTAGGTGTTGTGTTTGATAAATTTCTCTCTTGGGTTCCTCAGGTTAGTGAAGTGAGTAGAAGGATGTTTGCAGCAGTTAATTCTCTTCGTAGATTGAGTTACTTCTTACCTATACCTACCAAAATTGCGCTCGCGGAATCTCTCCTCTTACCAATTCTAGATTATGCCGATACATGTTACTTAGACTTAAGCGTTGAACAACTTAATAAACTTGAGCGCATCCAAAATCTTTGCATACGGTTCATATTTGGACTTCGTAAATATGACCACATTTCTGAATTCCGAAATAAGCTCAAGTGGCTTCCAATCCGCCTTCGCAGGAATACTCACCTTCTTTCGCTCTTATACTCTGTTCTATTCAATCCAACCACCCCTCCTTATCTTAAGAAGCGATTTGAGTATCTTTGTGATTCTCACCCAGATCGATCTCTCCGCTCCGATGACAATTTAATCCTCAGAATTCCTCCCCATAGTACATCTTTCTACTCCAAATCCTTTTCTGTGGAAGCTGTTCGGCTCTGGTACTCTCTCCCACTACATATTAGGCGGGCACAATCCCTACCTATTTTCAAGCGACTTTTAAGAAAACATTTTATGCCTCCTTCATCATTGTGTTCCATTCCTCGATGTTGTCAACTTATATCTAAATACTTATACATTATTTATAACGTATATATTTATATATCGTGTTTGCATGTGTATTTATGTGTAATTTATTAATATGTATTTATATTTTGACTTATAAGTTTCTCTTATTAATTCAGTGTACACCGTTACCCAATGCTACTGTTTTTACTATTTCCTTTTACTAGGTTGCCTGGAAGAAATCGCTTCCTAGCGATAAGGCCGCCTATTGTACAGTTTTGTATTATTTTAGTTGATTCTTCAATATCCGTTGGTTGTGTACAATAAAGTATATTTCATTCATTCATTCATTATTATATAAAAAAAAAATCTTTGTCTCTATTGAATGATTTTCGCTCTCGGTTCATACACCATAGATTATTAAAGTTTCACCGAACTCTGAATTTGTGGGGGGGCCAGATTGACCCTTCTGGTCGGGACATTACAGAGGATATCAGGGCACAGCACTAAGCTGGATTTGAATAAACCCACCAGCTCGGGAGGCGGAGGCGCAGGCGGTGCGCGCGCTGGGCTTGGAGGCGGGGCGCGAGCTGGCGCTGCGGCGCGCGCGCATCGCCGAGGTGCGCGCGCAGCGGCAGCGCCTCGACCGGCGCAGGGAGGCGCTCGAGGCGGAGCGCAAGCGCAAGCTGGCCGAGGCGCGCGCGCGCGCCAAGCCGCAGGTGGGTGCTGCCACCGGCGCCACTTGTGCCACCGAGCCCCGCGCTGGCCGCCACACTCCGCCACGGTCTGGCGCCCAGTGTGGGGCTCGTGACGGGAGCTATACCGAGTATGCAGCAAGCACCAGCACAACACTATTTAGCCGGCCCGGGCGATGTGGCGCAGAGCGGCCGGAGTCTGGCGCCCAACATGGGGCTCTTGAGTATGCATGAGAACATCTTTACACTACAGGATTTCCTTTCACCACTGAGCATGCGGTGAGCGTTTAGAATTGCAGCTAACGATTATGTCGGTGCCGGCACCGGGATTCGAACTCCGGGGTCGCTCAAGTATATAGGAGCAAGCACCCGGTCACTGAGCCAGCGCCCGATCACTGAACTAGCCCGGCTCAATACATACATTCATTCATTCATTCCTACTTAGACTCATGCTCTCCCTCAGGATGAAGATGGCGACGCCTTCATGGAGCCGCTGGAGGAAGGCGCCGAGAGCCAAGGCCTCAGCAGATCTCAGTCCTCGCCTAACATCGCGAAGGTGAGTTCTCACATTTAGTAGGATTAGAATGTAACCGACAAAATTTTACAAATCGACAAATCGTGTACTTTAACAAGACAAATGTAATCTATCAGCTGTAAAGTCAAAGCTGTCGCATTTAAAATGAAATATCAAGCATTTGAAACTTTATATATTTATTTTAATAAACTTAATCTTCATCATCATCCTCCTACTCGTATCCCACCTAGCTGGGTCGCAACTGTGAATCATAAAATAAGTGGTTTTGGATAAGGTTTTTGTGACCAGGCGTCTATCTGACATCAGCAATTATCCTTGCGCCACACAAATTGGCTTCTCCCGTGTAGAAATCGAACTAACGACCGCCGACTCAAAAGCTTAACAACTGCTCCATGAACTTAATAGGGTTAACAATTTTATGTATATATTTATTGCAACCACTTTTCACTACTAATTGGAACTAATTACACCGCCTTATTCGTTGAAGTTATAGTAAAAATCCCTCCACGTTCAGTCACCAAGCTTCAGTCGGTCCAATAGAAACAAAACCTTCTCCATCGGAATTAAAGTCGAGATTACAGTGACAATCAGAACGGTGAAAAACAATCTGCCATTACCATAGTAATTATGATATTCAAAACACAGCCTTACGTTTCGGATTAAGAGTCAAGATTACATTGACAATCCGAACGTTGACAAACAATCTCCCGTAAACGCAATCATACTGATATTCAAAACACCACCTTACTGATTTAGAGTCGAGATTACATTGACAAACGATCGCCCATCATCAAACTAAGTCTCACATTGAAAACACACCGTTTCGTACCGGATTTAGAGTCGAAATTACAGTGACAAACGATCTCCCATCACCATAGTAACTCTGACATCCAAAACACCACCTTACGTATTGGATTTAGAGTCGAGATTACTGTGACAAACGATCTCCCATCACCATAGTAACTCTTACATTCAAAACATCACCTCTCGTAGACCTAGAGTCGAGATTACAGCGACAAACGATCTCTATTATCATAGTAACTCTAACATTCAAAAGACCACCTTTCGTATCGGAGTTTTAGTCGATATTATAGTGACAAACAATCTCCCATCGCCATAGTAACTCTAACATTGAAAACTCCACCTTACGCGTTTGGTTTAGAGTCGAGATTCCAGATAACCTCCTTACGTATCGGAGCTAAAGTCGAGATTACATTGACAAACGATCTCCATCGCCATAGTAATTGTGACATTAAAAACACCACCTTACGCTTCGGATTTAGAGTCGAGATTACACTCATATCCCCCCCCCCCCCCCCCCTCAGGCTCCTAGCGAGGAGGAGGAGGCGCCTACGCCACTGTTCGACCGGAGCACCAAACCCCACAAGCTGTCGCCGCCCAGCGAAATGCAGCAGCGAGACTTCCAACCGGTGTGGGGGGACGTCGTGAGTACAACCTGATGATGTCATACACTAGCCTTTCGCCCGCGGCTTCGCTCGCTTTGAGGCCCTTGAATAAACATCTTTCAACCCACTACAACACTTTTTTCCAATTAAAAAGATAAGGCATGTCCTGTCTAAGGCTCTAGACTATCTGCGTACCAAATTTCATTTAAATCGGTTCGGTAGTTTTGGGGTGAAAGCGAAACAGACAGACAGACAGAGTTACTTTCGCATTTATAATATTAGTATGGATCATATAGCGTGGCGTTACGACCGCGACGCTAAATGAACACACTTCTAACGCTGTTTGCCAATAGTCATAGAAATATATGAACGTTAGAGAAAATCCATAATTAAAAAAAAGAATAATTTTCGAACCAACTAATTAAATTTAATAAAAAACCGGCCAAGGGTTCCGTACCAGTTCCACTTCAGTATTTTTTTATTGCCTTTTTTACTATTTGTTGTTATAGCGGCAACAGAAATACATCGCGTGTGAAAATTTTAACTAACTCTTACGGTTCATGATATACAGCCTTGAGCCTGGTGAGAGACGGACAGACAGACAGATAACGGAGTCTTAGTAATAGGGTCCCGTTTTACCCTTTGGGTACGGAACCCTAAAAAAGAAACGAAATAGGATGTCACAACATCCTACACAACTACAACTGACTGATTAATACATTCAGAGACTTTTTCATTTATTATCACAACGTCGTGTTTTAAGTCTCTCCTTCTAACAGTATGTTTTATCTCTTTTGAATACATTCGATCAACTCATATGCTTTGTGCCATTTACAAATTAAATTACAGTAAGGTTACAGTTTTATACGTACGGTTGTTCTAAAATTATTTGCTTTGTAAAATTCAATAACTCGGTAAATGTTGACGTTTGATGAAAGTAAATTTTTATAACAATTTTAAAAAGTTATCCTCTTTATGTGTGTTTATAAAGTCGTTATTAAAGTCGCGGTAGTAGCATACAAAAAGTAATAGTAATTCGCAACTTTAGAATTAAAGGTACCTGAGTAAGAAAATAATGATTTTGACTTCAGGAAACGACAAAACTACTACGCTTTTCGACTCTCATTAAAACAAGGGCCGATTTGACAAAGCTACATAACGTATACTTCGGTCTCTTTCGGTCCCCTCCAATCAACTCGTTTGTTCATAAGTGAACAAATCTTTATGTTACGTTCCCAAAAGTTTATATTTTTCAAATAGGTCACTATAATTCTATAGGTGCTAATGATACTATGCTGCTATCTCTCTCCGTATCAGACGTTCATTATCATCTGTCACTTATACAGCGTGTCGTTACCATCGCGACAATAAATGAACACACATCTAACGCTACTTGCCAATATCGTAAAAAAATATTAACGTTAAACAAAATCCATAATAAAAAAATATTTTTAGAAGAAAAATATTTTAAGAAACAAAATTTGTAACATCCTATACAATTCGCGCTACAGCGTCGCATTACAAGCCTCTTCTTCTAACAGTATGTTTTGTCTCTTTTAAATTCATTAAACCCATTCACATGCTTTGTGACCTTTACAAATGAACTTTACGTTACAGTTTTATACGTAAGGGTGTTCTAAAATTGTTTGTTTTGGAAAATTTAATAACTCGGTAAATATTGATGTTTAAAGAATGTAAATGTTTAATACAATTTTAAAAAGTTATCCTCTATATGTGTGTTCATTTTTTGTCGCGGTGGTAACGACACGCTGTATAATATGTCGCATAATGTAAAGCGGAGTAATTTTCAATAATGCATTATGTTATCTAAAAACTAGCCGATTGATTGACTTGATGTTTGTTCAAAACATAGCTATTAAACAGGAGAGTATTTTAATATACTTTTCATGCCGAAGTTTCAATGGTAACGAAAAAAAAAATGCCACAGCGAATCTTGGCTAGTTCGGCTAGTATTAAATAATAAAATTCGCGCGGACGGCGACAAGGAATCCGAAAACTCGATCTAAAATTTTGGGTAACCGGTAGCGTAAAGCACCACTCCCGTTTACCCAAAGTAGTCGTCACTCCGACGTGACGTGACACGACCGTGACACGTGATAGGACGCACACGTGCGTGTCATGTCACGTCACGTGGTGTTTCGTACATTCGACTTGGGGGTATTACCGGCTAAGGTGCGGCGCGCACGCTTTTCGGCGATTACGCTACGCTAGGCCGCCTGAGCACGTGTAACTGTAATCACGTTTGTTTTGCTGCGGCTTACAACCCCGATGGATGATTAGTTATAGCCACCCTAAGTTAGTAGGGGTTCGATGCCGGCGTACTGCTTAGCGTAGCAGCGTAGGAAAGGCTCTACGTACTTTACAATGTTATAGTTGGAATTGGAAACCATACGGCTATCTCTTTTTACCTTTAAGGGTTAGAGAAAGACCTTTTTTTGGATTACGAAATCAGAGGGGTACTCTTCATTTATAACTCGTATATTTGTATAGAAGTATAATTAGAACTCTATCATCTCTGTTGAAGAGTTGTCAAAACTGCCTTCGTGAACCCACAATTAAAGTGTCCATAAACTTCAAACGTGTTGAACAACTAGGCACTATTGAATTAATGTTGATTTCATTTATTCACGTTAATTTATTTCATTAAGGCATACAAAAAAATGTATAAAATTTGCCATAACAATTAACATATAATCCATGCACCAAAGTTTGACTAGTTTGATTGTACATATTAGTGACATTTTTTAAAATATGTATGTGTGTATCGTTGCGAGCGTAAACCGGCGTTAGTTCGACATTTATTTACATTGAAAATAATGCGATCACGTTAAGGCTTGAAGAGAAATACATTATCAGCTCTCGCGTCGCTCCATCTTCAAAGGTGTGCTTTGAGAAAACGCCAACTCGGCAGTACGTGTTTAAGAATCGAATCCCGCACCTCTGGAGAGGCCCTGTCTCCTACGAGTCCTTTTACCCACTTTGTCGACACCTAGACGTTAATTTTCTTCCTTTATTCAGAACGGGCTGTGATAGCCAATTACTAGGCTCCCGTGTTTACATATTTCATTTGAGCAAACCGGGATATTGCTCATTTTGTGGCAACATTTCCTGCATCGATATTTTACAAACGACGATTGTTTTTACAAATTTCTAGCTTTTTAGGGTTCCGCACCCAAAAGTGAAGTGGTACCCCGTTACTAAGACGCCGCTGACTGTCTTTTAGTTTTTTTTTCGGATTTTCTATAGATAATGTTACGGAACCCTTCGTGGCGAGTTCGACTGGCACTTCGGTTCTTTAATCTCTCAAGTGGTGCGTAATTTAGTTTCAATTGTGGTGAATACCACGATAAGTGTGCCTTCAAATGTTATTGCGTGCAAGTTAAATGCATGAAAAAATTCACTATAGCGTCGGATCACAAACGAAAGTTTTGGGAATAGTAAAGTTACACCCTATACATGTCCCACTGCTGGACTTGGCCTTGTACAGCGGGTACTAGGGCCGCCAGTCCACATTTATTTAATTTTAAATAATATAATGTGTTAATTACCGTTAGAGCAATGTAATTAAGTGCAAGTTGGGATTCAAACTTGGAACCACCAGGTTCGGGCTGCAAAGGAAATAAATCTACACGAGGCGACCTAGAAACACGTGCTACGATACGCGTAGAAACGCTACGGCGTTGAGTTGCCATAATGTCCAAACATGGCTTCATGTTAATACTCTTCGACGCGTTTTCATTGTATCACTGTTTTGTCTGTCACACATTCTTTTTAACCGAATTTGAAAAGGGAGTTCGATTCGGTTATTTATTTGTATATATTTGTCACCTCAGAACTATGTCGTTTAAGAACCGATTTTAAAAAATATTTTTGCACTGGATCCGAGTTATTTCCTGCGTGGTCTCGTATTAATTTCATTCGTATTAAACCTAGTACACCGGAGATACATCAGAGAACTGCTCAAAACATTGAAGGCGTGAAACTAACCTGTGCACTAAACAGTTTCCATTTCCTTCTGCCTTGCTCTTTATCTATCTCTGTCTTCGTGCGAATAGTTTTTAAATGCATAGAGGTTTTGAAGGGCGTCTCGTATCGATTATTAGTTTATTGAGGTGGGTCCACGCATATGGGTCATTACATAATTATGCACGATACTAGATCGCAGATTTACCACGATCTCACAGAAGACCGGAGCTTAATAGGAGGATTAATATTTTTGCTTTTGTTTACCGGTATCGTGAGCCGTGATGGCTAATTGTCCGGGCGCTCGCTTGCGAGCAACCCGAGTTCGATCCCCGGTGCCGGCACCGATGAAACCTGCATATTTTCGAAATAATAACAAAAAAAAAACATTTTCAAAGTGTGTGAAGTCCGCCAATCTGCAGCGGGGCCTAGTGGCGGTCTATGCCCTTACAGCCTCTGTACAGAGGAGGCCTTCGCCCAGCAGTGGGACACATATAACCTGTTACTTTACTTTTTACTTTTTTTACCGCGACTAATAAAGGAACACTATGTTTCGAAGGTTGACAACAAAACATCCTCTAAGATCACTACGATAAATTGCGATTAATAAAATTACACATCTTTCTCGCTTTGCCGTATACCACGCCGAAACGGAAAACGATAGCAGGTCTACACCATTCGTCGAAATAGTTATGGCACCTGGTCGTAAGTTCCATCACTAATGGTACCACAGCGGCACCTAAAGGTCAATTAGGGGAATTCCGCTCGGCTATTAGCGAAAGTGGCGCGCCAATATCGCGTCACTTTCGTAATATTCCGCGACGCTATCGAGACGGAATGGTTATTTCAACCGACACCTAAAAAGGTTCTGAATTCGGTTGTATTTTTATTTTGGATTCCATACAATAGTATAGGGTCCCTATTACTAAGACTCCACTGTCTGTCTGTCTGTCAGTCGCTCAATCGCATGGCAAGCTATTTAAAAGCTATACCAAGCTATTTACCGCGTATACTACAACTATGCACAACGAAACTGACAATTACAATTTATTTTTAACGAAAAACAAAACAGACTTCAAGTATCTCTGCTACTATTAATTTTCTATTGGGGTTTGAGGACTTCTCTGATAAATATCCGGACGAAATTAATATGGGAGCTGAACTGAACCCAATGCAAGAAGAATTTTTACGATAGATTCATAAATGAAAGTACGAGTCAGACTCGCGCACCAAGGGTTCCGTGCTACTGTGTTGTATGCGAGCCGCACTTAAATATTATTTTATTTTTAGTATTTGTTGTTATAGCGGCAACATAAATACATCATCTGTGAATGTTTCAACTGTCTAACAACTATCACGGTTCATGAGATACAGAATACAGCCCGGTGACAGACAGTCTTAGTAATGGGGTCCCGTTTTACCCTCTAGGTGTGGAATTCTTTCGTTCTCATGTTTTTAACAAAACGTGAGAGCGGAAACCGTAAATACGCTGATATACACCGTTATATAACACGCCTAACGACTCTCACGGCGTTTGTAAAAGGCACACTTTAGCACCAGATTACGAGATTAGCCGCGCAAAGCCGGGGAAATACTCACGAGCTGCCGCCAAGCACGCCATATCCGCTATCGAGTTTTTCGTTAATCCAGCGACTCTCAAACCGCAGTCAGCACAAACCCACGTGGTCATGTTAAACTTTTCATAATAAAACTAACGGCTGGATGTGGAGAGTGTTTCGAAAGCTAAAAAAAATCCGCATCGAAGCGTTCAGCTAGTTAAGTATAAAATTTCACTCGAGAAAGATTGAGAACCACTGCACTGGCCGAGTTTCGAATATGTAATGAGGAGTTTAACTGCGCCATTTTTTCCGTAGCACCTACTTATTTGCGGGCCGCATTTGAATATGCACACAGAAAATAACGTAGGTGTATTTTCATGCGAGCAAACTTAGTGTCGAATAACGAAAAACGAAATTGAAATAAAAAAAAAAAGTAAATTACCCACAACCCTGCGGACGACTATTCGTTTGTATGGAAATACGTTACGAATCCTTTGTTTCAAGTACCAGCTATTTATTGGTTAAAATATTTACAACTAGCTGTTAACCGCGACTTCGCCCGCCCGGCCAAAGGGAATTATCAATCAGTTTTTTATTATATAAAATTCTCGTGTCACGCTATTTGTATTTGAACTCCTCCGAAACGGCTCGACCGATTTTCGTGAAATACATATCGGCCAGGTCAGAGAATCGGACAACATCTATTTTTCATCCCCCTAAATGTTAAGTTATCACTTACCATCAGGTGAACCGCCAGATTGCTTGCCACCGCCACATCATTAACATTATGAAAATGAACCAAAATTCCATAAGGTCCGTTTTGAAGAGAATGGGTCGAAACATATTAAACAGGTTGTTGTCATGAAAACGTAGTCGGCATAAACATAAGTTGTTTACATTAACAAATACTACATACAAATCTACTCTACCGTTTTATTAGACATGCCCTAGGGATTTATATACATGTATGTGTTAATTCAATCGAAACTCAACCCGCCAAATTCCGAAAGGGCAAAGGCGCAGGGCTGCGCAAACATCAACAGTCCTCCCCAAGTGTACGGTGGTCTAAAGACCGACAATCAATCAAACGATATCGCAGTTCGCTCCCGACGTTCTCTCACCTTGTACGGTGACCATGGTTCCGCATAGTATTGGCAATTTCTAGAAAACCTTTAGAGTTCTTTTTTTTTAAACATTGCCGTTACTTTAGGATATCATTATCCTGTGTTGCAAGGACGTTTTACATACATCAGGCAAAGAACCGGTTTCACCTACTCGAATAAATTTCCTAGTTTTATCATGCTCCAAATAGAAATAAAATGAATGACGTTCATCAATAGGGTCGGGAAAAAATGTCCGGTTAACCTTTCGCTATGAGTTTTTTACGATCCGTCGTTTCTCAAATGTCTTGCATAATTGCACGGAACCACCATTATATCTGATTACGTGATATCAGTCGCCATGTGTTATGTTTATTTCATATTAGTTATTGAAAACATCTCCTGAACATGTTCTTTGCTCGCCAGAGCGATATAATCGATTTAAATAGCTTCACATTTTCTAAGACTCCCTACGCCGTCCACTCGAACACGTTTCAAAGGGCACACGAACGCTGTAACACCTACCCCGCGACGTGGTCACCGCACCACCACCCCCACCCGCTGCCCACCCTCGATTACGGCGCGTAAACATTAGTCGTTCGTGAGCGCTCGTCGCGGCCGCACGTCTCAGCGATCGCCGTGGAAACGCTGCCGCCATAACAAATGCTGGCGACTTTGATCTCGACCGTGTTCATGTTTTACCTGATAGTACTCCTCGTGCTCGTGTTCCCGCTGTCGAAATATAAGGAGATCGATCGGACGCGAGACTAGCGCGCCTCCGCGCCGTACCGCCACAGCATACCCAATTAATACGCCGTGCGGTTGTGAAATTGCTAATCTGTGCAAATTACGAAAGCAATTTTCAAACTCTCGCTGCATTCGCAAAGTTCGTCTATCACCCAATGAGCGGCAAAACTTAATTTGATTACTTTAACTGGCTGATAAATAATCTATCTCTGTAGTTTGCACCCTATTTATACACTGGCCAAGTTTGTGAATGCGAAATACCGAAAGGACTAGAAACAAACAAGCCCAAATAAGAATATACACAAGAACGGAATAACAAAAGATAGTACAGATAAATATCTAAACGCCCTCTTCGAGTCTAAAACTCTCGCTGAACCTTAGGTCTCGAGACATCACGAGAACCGCCAAAAGGCGTGACCAATCCGTGCGGACGGCTAAACGCCAATTGGTCCTAGCAAAAATCAAAATTCTCCGCTACGACCAAAGATGCATCCCCCTGGATGCAGCTAACATGGTCCTTAAGGTCAAGGTCAGGCTAAAGTATTCGCAAAACCACATCGTCTGGCTGTTCAAAAGGGTGAGTGAACCTTCATTGCCGACGGGTTCGTCCCCCGATGCACACAGTACATGCTAATTTAGCACTGAACCATATCGTGTGGGCAAATGTATGTCTGACAATAATTTTGTTATCAACAAGTTTTGTTGATAACAAAATTAGTTTAAAGTTTTGTTTAGCATTTATTCATTTCTTGCCCTTTAAGATACATTTCAGAAGGTTCGTTTCGGAATCGAAATAAAAAAGAACTAAATTGCTACATATATTTAAATTTCCAAGTTCAAAATATGAGGCGTAATACAACAAGAATAATATACACAAATAGAAATATCTCTAAACGAGATAGATACTTAGTCAACACCTCTTGGGATACGAACGATAGAACCAAAACTCTTAAAGCTGCTGTTATCAAGAAATATCTTATCGCTTTTGTATACAAAAGAGAAGCATCAATAATAATTTCATAACAGAACAGCGGTCGCAAGTATACCTTGAAGGAGGTTTCCCATCCAACCAAAGCCACTTATATGCATATGTATTCCGCGTAATCTCAGTTAAATTAATTACTTGTTCATTTGCGTATGCCCTACGTAGATACGTTCGGAACTGGTTCACGTGACGGGGTGATTTGTGTATATTAAATCCTTGAACGAGATAACAATACTGCTGTTTTTTTTTAAATAAAATAAATATAAATAGATCCCACCATGGCGCTTCATGGGACTTTTTTAACGCATGAAGATAGTCGCGTTATTGACAACTATACTATAGCTTGGTGAAAACAATAATTGTTTAAATTATTTATAGTACCATGAAAATTTTGTAAAAACGAGAAACGCAATTGATGCGTACTTTCTACCCTATCGAGAGTAAAATGTCTTCACTATAGATAGTTGTTCTTGTCTTATTGGCTAGGTCATTTAAGCGAAAAGCTACTTCTTTGTCTCATAAACATCAACTTAAAATATTATTATTTGGTGCTTGCTTTATTTCGCCCAACGTATTGTAAGGTGCTCTTCTTTTTTCACGAATAATTATTTTATTAAATAAAATACATCTTATTTAACATCACACACTTCTCTTGTTTGGATTAGTATCCATCTATTCATATGCGTAGATATTATGTAGATAAATATCAATGATTCCATTAGTGCAGCTGGCACGCTGTCGAGGGCTCGTAGGTTCGAATCCCCGCCCGAGAAGGTTAGTATTTGTAAGTTCTACGAATACATTTTCCCTTCGATTTGTGGTTTAAAGTTATCATGCAAACCTGTGTAATCAAAAATCTTTTCTGTTGGAAAATAAATTCACAGAAATGTCGCTAATATAGAAGTATTAAATTCCAATCAGGGTCGCGGCCTGACCGGTCTGAAGAATCTGGGCAATACCTGCTACATGAACTCCATAATCCAGTGCCTGAACAACACAGCGATACTGGTCACCTACTTCTGCAACGGTCAATACCTGGAGCACGTGAACAGGTAAGTTTGATTTTTTTTTATTAGAGATGGTGGATTGGTCTTTGGACATACGGCAACTTGCGTTATTGCACGCAAGGGCAGGCTCGTCCGGGTAAGTGCTACGACCACAAAAATGGGAGTGGTATACTTCTGCGTTTCGTCTGCGGTGAGTGAATACGGAATATTCTTCTGGAATTAGAGTTTGCATCTGTGTTTTTAATTGAAAGTAAGAAACAGGCGAAATAAACTATGGATTTCTAGAAACTGGTGTTACAAGTTTGTGTAAATATTTATGAAAAGGTAGCCGTATGCTCGCTTTTAATTCAATGTATTCGAGCAACCCGAGTTCGATCCCCGATGCCGGCACCAATGGAATTGTTAATTTTAAGTGCTGAATTGTCACGTGCTCAGCGACGAAGGAAAACATCGTGAGGAAACCTGAATATTTTCCAAATAATAACAAAACAAAATATTTCGAACATAATGTGAAGTCCGCCAATCCGCAGTGGGGCCGCGTGGTGAACTATGCCCTGACACCCTCTGTACAGAGGAGGCCTTCGCCCAGCAGTGGGACATGTATAGGCTGATACATTTATATGAATGGGTAACATAGTTCTTTTTAGTTTGATGTATCCATCGGCAGGTCACACAGCACGCGCGGCGCGATAGCGGAGGAACTAGCGGCGGTGGTGCGCGCACTGTGGTCCGGACAGTACCGCTTCATCGCCACAAAGGACCTACGGGTGAGTCTTAACTTGTGTTGGCTGCTCTAAAAGTTGCATTTATAGGAACGAGACGGATAGCGTGTGTATCGTTTACGAGTGAAAGGGTATTATTGGTAAATAATGTAAGCGTTGAACGTCGGTTCTGTTTCATGAAAGTTTAACTACGTATTTTCGTAATTAAACGTTTTCGTTCATTATTCACCAATTAAAGTTTGTTGATGATTATATAAAGCCTTTTTGCAGTTTTTTAACTATTTTTAGTATTCTTTAAAACCAACGTTCAAGATATCAATTAAGTCATGAGTTTGTCATAAGTCTTGTAATCTCTGATGCGTTTGCTAGTTAATAAGAGTCCACCATTAGTGACAGACGAATCAAAGATTTACCATAAAGGTAGTCCTTTATGGTTCTTTATGGTGCTACACTAATGCCCGGTTCCTATATTCATCGAACGGCCGTTACATAGCTTCGTAACTTTCATAACGACTTGTAGATAAAAATGCGTGTACGCCCGGTTCCTATATCGACAAAACGAGGCGTTTTCCTTACGAGCCATCTTATTATCCACGGAAAGTGAGTTACTAGCGTTCCTTTAATCTACAAGTCGTCATGACAGGCACGAAGCTATGTAGCTAACGGCCGTTCGTCGGATATAGGAACCGGGTATGAGTAACCTCCGGTAATGTGGCCGTACTGTGGTCGTTAGCACGTGTGCCCCCTTGCAGAACGAGGTGGGCAAACACCAGCGCGCGTTCCGCGGCGGCGAGCAGCAGGACTCCCACGAGTTCCTCACCATCCTCATGGACTGGCTCCACCTCGATCTTCAGTTCACCATCAAACCGCCACAGAAGGTAGGTTGCTCCGTGGCTACGAAATGTTGCGATTTCGTAAAGCTTTGAAATGCTGGTGCCGTTTGTACACAGTGCTGTTCGTTTTAGTTCGTTTCTGTTTTTTAAAAACACTGCCCTCACTTTTTAGGATAACAGTAGCCCGTGTTGTAAGGGCGTTTTACAAACATAAATTTCGCGCGGACGTACACCCAGATGCGAAACGACTATCTGCGGGTCACACAAATAGTTGTCCCGTGTCGGACCGAACCCACGACTTCTGACGCCGAAGCCGAGACCTTGGCGACTGCGCCACGGAGTCGTCTGTTGTCTGATGTAATTGACATGAGACATTTATTCCGACACTTCATCACAATGTTACATTGAAATATAATGTTTAACATTGATTGCAGCGATTTCAAACTTGCAATTTGCGAGCTTGTTTCCATTAGTGCCGTTTGGAGGCAGCGATGTCGAAATTTGCCGTGCTTTGTACCAATAAAGTTGTGCTGAGTGTGGCAACTTTGATTACGACTTGAATTTCTGAACAAGACTAGGCGAGAATTTAATCTGAAGAATGAGAATTCGACGATTTTTGTTCTGATCGGGCAACGGGTAACGTGTGTTATAATAACGTAGATGATATAATAGCAGAAGAAAGAAGAAGTGAAATATTTAGTAGAAGATTTTTTCGTCTTTGACTTCGACTTTTACATAAAAGCCTGAAAGATAACGCCGTTGCGTAATTGTCAAGGTATTGGCTTCGGAGCCAGGGGTAGTGGGTTTGAGTCCCATACGGGACAACTTTTTGTGTGATCCACGCATAATTGTTTTCGGATCTGGGTGTTTGTCCACGTGCAAATTTACGTATGCGAAACGTCTGTAGGATAACGTTATACTGTGTTGTAAACACAGTATAACGTTATCCTACAGTGAGGGTAGTTAAAAAAAAAACTCGAAATCCGTAGGAAACGTTGCCGGCCGCCGACCGGGCGTGGCACGAGTACACCAGGTGCAAGGAGAGCCTGGTGCTACGGCTGTTCTACGGCCAGATCCGCTCCACGGTGCGGTGCCTACGCTGCTCCGAGCGTAGCGCCACCTACGACTCCTTCTCGAACCTGTCGCTCGAGCTTCCGGCGAACGCGAGCAGGTGCACGCTCCAGGACTGCCTCCGGCTCTACCTCAACGGGGAGACGATTCCCGGCTGGAACTGCCCCAAGTGCAAGGAGAAACGGGACGCAGTCAAGAAGCTGGACATATCGCGCCTGCCGCCCGTTCTCGTTGTGCACTTCAAACGGTTCTACGTCGACCCGAAGGAGTACTCGAGCAACGCGTACCGAAAGAGACAGACGTATATCGACTTCCCGCTCGAGGAGTTGGACATGAGCCAGTTCTCGCTGCACTGTCCCGGCAACCCGATGTACAACCTGTACGCGGTGTCCAACCACTACGGCTCGATGGAGGGCGGCCACTACACCGCCTACTGCAAGAGCAGCGTCTACGGCAAGTGAGTGACCGGATTCTGGCCTTCGCCTACGCCCGGTCCCTATATCCAACGAACGGCCGTTAGTTACGTAGTCATTATGAAGTCGCTACGTGTCGTTATGAAAGTAACGTAGTTATGTAACTGACGGCCGTTCGTTGAATGTAGCAACCGGGCGTTAGTCATTTTCAATTCTACCACTCCAAAGAGACATGTTTATATCTAGCTGAACTGTGATTTGTTTGTGATTTTCATTCGGTAAGGGAACAAATTACAACACAGTTATGTGTTTATGTGATAACCACCGCCAATGGTCATTTGCAACACCCGTAGGGTTGCCGATCTACTGATCATGTAAGGTTGTGGTACTTACCCGGACGGGCCCATTCCACGAATGCGCCTACCACATTTTTTTAAGGTTCAAAGAGAGAACATAAGTTTTCTCTCTTCAAAAGGCACTCGCGTTTCGTCTATTGAGCGATGTGACCGGGTCCCAATTTTCTAAAAGTTGACAACGCATCTGCCACCACTCTCGTGCTGAAGATGTACACGGGCCATCTTCACATAAAACAAAAGTAAATCGTAGTTAAGTAAGTAATTCACCCCACCCCACCCCTCCCCTGGCGGCAGATGGTACAAGTACGACGACCACGTGGTGACCGAGATACCGGCCAGCGAGGTGAAGTCGAGCGCCGCCTACATCCTGTTCTACACGTCGTGCCGCTCCTGATGCCGGGGCCAGCCCAGGTAAGCCGCCAAGAGGCCGGGCCCGGAGCCCGAGGCGTCCACCTCGCGGGGCGACGCCAAGCGGCACCCCTAGGCCGGCGTCACCGGCTCTCCCAGGACTCGAATAGCCCTGAAGCGATCCAAAATGCCACTGAAACTCAATAAATTCCAACCGAAACCTCCTGAATAAGAAACATTTTGGAAGTTTTGGTTTGAAGTCACCCCCTAAACATCTTTCATTGATTTTTCTTACTGAATTTAGGTAGAAAACTAAATGGTATCAAAGTCTCTAAGCTGTCAAGAAGCCCCGAGCTCCAGAAACCATCGGCTCTCCAATTATGCTGATCGAAAAACGCGATCTGGGTGTGTTTGTTCACGTACAAATTAATGTGTGTAAAACATACTTACGGGGCAGGATAACATTATCGAAGGGAAGACTACAATAGATCTTGCTGGTCGCAGTGGTCATTGGGACTTACTAACCCCACCCCGTGTGCAATTAATAGTGTTAATGTAAATACAAGCTAACTTCACCGGGCCAATAACTGTCACCCTGAGATCCGAAGTACAACCAACTCTTATGACTGAAAGTTAAAATATCCATTTGTAATTAACACACAAGCACCTACACCCTTTAAACGTAATGAGGCTAAAATAGGTAATGCTATTAACATTTCCCTGAGCTTGCAGAGTCCCAACTCTGGCCGGTTGTGAGCCTTGTTTTGAAGCCTGATAAAATACTAACAATTCGACATGTTGTAATTTTTATCTGTGTACTTTCGCATATAACCTATTTGTTATAAATTCAAATGGCTCTTAGTTTGTATATCAATTTGTGTAATGTTCTCCCTATGGACCTCAAAATGGTTGAACTGTTTTCGATGAAATTTTCGGGCAAACTTTAGATTAGCCTCGAGGGTAATCCTGCGATTCTTGATAATTGGATCAACAGATTTTTTTAACTTACTTATAATAACATAAATGTTTCTATCAAACTTTGAAACAACAACTTTCCCTTGAAAGGTACTGAACCGATGTACTTATTTAAACTGTAAAATAACCAATACATGGTTTTGAAGCTATTTGCTTTAGAGTATCGTCACAAATCTAATTATTTCATCTGTAAACAGGATTTTGTACATTCACCTGCCCTGTCTCTGAGTGCAAGGCGTCAAAGTATATACAATAAAATATTGTCGAACAATATAGTCTTTCTAGAGATCATCGGATTCAGAAGTTCATGCTTAATGGCAAATGAGGCCCATGCTTAGCGGTGGGCTGGAATGATCACAAGTTTTACCATAAACACCCTAAATGTCAGTTGATGTTAAAATTGGACGTAATTATAATTCACTCGGTGTAAGTTGTTGTGATTATTAAAATAAAGATATTTCTGTAATTAGAGTCTAAGATTGAAAAATGTATACCTATATATGTATTTTGTTTGGATTTCCGAAACGTTATGCGACAGGAGCAAGCGATTGATACTTTTAGAATGTGTATTTTGAGAATGAATTTAAAAAAAATTGTATGTTGCTCTCCGTTTAAGACACATATATGATATGGTACTATTGTATGTTAACCAATGTAAGGTTCTTATATTATTAATAAAAATGAATCCTTATATATACTTAAACCAAATAGACACTAAGTGTTTGATATGTTTCTATAAGCACAAATATTTGGTACAAATATTTGATTCAGACATTTTATAAGCCTACTGACAAAATCTCAACACCATTTGTGGGTAATGGAGTTTGACAATGTAAAAATGCCAATCTTCAGAGCCCAAACTATTTTCTACTTGATATGAATCAAAAGCAAAACAAGATCAGATGTACAAATGTGCTTTTATAATACAATTACTTATTGTAATTATTTTTATTTATTGCGTATGTATAATTGTTTTGGTTTGTCAGTTTGGATGGAGTAAGACTGAATAGGAATGGATGGTATTGCCATGTTAAAATAATTTAAACTGTTAATACAGCTTGTAAAATTAATTTATTCATAGTAAGAACTAAAATATACTTCCAATTAAATGTAAATTGTAAAGTAGGCTGTCATTTAATTATGATGATAATGACCTTCAGTGAATACATGCCTAGAGTTATTTGCTGTGCAAGTTATGAATGCAGTAATTATGGTGTTAAATTTTGAGATTATTGTTTCTCTCCACCAGATAGTTATCTGTAAAGCCTATATCACTTATGTAAAGGTAAGATTAAGATACTTTTGTGTATTATAAAAGATGCAATTGATTCATAAATTCCGGTATTCATTATTGTTCAAGAAAAGCTATATTATAAAATAATATTTGGACTGTAAGAAAACCATCTCTTTATTTGCAATAAAATGTAACCACATGGTAGAACATTTGATTCCTTGGCCTTTATTTGTGTTAAATATCAAAACTAAAAATGACTGCATTGAGAAAAATACAAAATTTGTTACTGTTGTGTTATTACACATGTACATATTTCTTACATTAAAAAAATATTGTATAAGGTAAATTTATTAAATTCTTTGTTAATATGATTAATTGTTTAAATTTATTGTTAAATTTCAAACTTTAGTAAGACTTAAGATAAATAGCAAACCATTATTAATCATTTATATATTAGACAACAGTTAGTGTTAGGGCCATGCTAGTCTCCTCTGTTATATGAATGGGCAGGTCTGTCCAGGTAAGTACAACACCTCACAGAAGACCAGCGTGAAATGGAAGTGTTGTATTTCTGCATTTCGTCTGGTGATTGAGGTAGCCGGGCCCACTTTATTACAAGGTGGCAATGCATTTGCAATCCTAAGAGTGTTGCAATCACTTAACATCATGTGACCTGCCAGTTCGTTTGCCACCATCTCACATAAAAAGAAGCTTATTCATGACAATTGCCCAATAAAATTGCTGTTTTGTCCTTACTCTATACCAGCTTTATGGTAAAATTTGGATACACAGACACATGATGATGTTTATACAGAGATCATCATCACTTCGCTTCCCCGTTCATCAGCATATTGATGTCTATCATAATGTCATCATCTTCTTCATCTTCCTCCATATTGCAATATAAGCTATCTCCACTGTAATCTGTGAAAATTTTAATAATGGCTGTGATTTTTTTCTTTTTCAAAATAAAGGCATATCTGCTTTTCAGAAAACAGTAGAAAGCAACTCTGTAGGCTTGGTTGGTATAATAATTTGATGTTCTAGATTTATATTTGTGGTTAGAAGGTTATAACTGTTGCAACACAGAATTCACTGCGGTGTTTACAGCAGTCTGTGTTGCAAGTGATATAAATCTAGAACATCAAATTATAATCATCATTAGTTGGGATCCCCCAACCTACAACTTCCAGATAACGTGGCCAAACGCTCTAGCCACTAAGGTTGCCAGATGGGCGACAACATATAAAGATGAAACTTAAGTACAGACACTACCATTTATGTTAAAGATTATTCTAAATTTGCAATTTTTATATCAGGACAAGGCCTCTAGAGCGCAAAGTAATATCTAAAAATAAGGATAATGGGTGGAGTTTTAAAAACTTAATACTAAAGTTGAATGCAATATTGAATAAATCCTTAATAAAAAACGGAAAGGCAAGAAATAAATTATAAGCAATACATACTAGATATACAATTGGAGATCATCAAATCCAGTTCCTGCTGATTACAATTGATATCTTCATCTGTCGCTCCAACTCCATTAACATTAGCAAGTTCTGTACTCTTTGGTGCACACTGCATTAAATTAACTGCCGATGTTGATGGAACATTGATTCCTTCCCCTACAGGTTTCAAATCCACAACAGTTGCTTTTTTTGCTCCTTTAATTTGTGCCTTCAAACTCTCCAAATGTAGCCTCTCTATCTGTCACAAATAACGCTTATTTTTTATTTATTAAATGAAACCAGTTTACGGATTTTATCGCGTTTTAATTTTGATTTTGTAATTCCCGACGTTTCTAACCCTTTCTAGCGTTCATGGTCTCGGGACAGACTCCTTTTATTTCTAACTAACAACTGTACAATTGTAAACTTTGTCATAACAGAAATTTGTGATCAGAGGAGATTATTTTTTACTTATCAAAGAATAACTGAAAGAAAATACAAAATTAATAAACCTGAAGACAATTTCGTTGGTTTCGGATTTTAGCGAGAGCCTCAATTATCCATTTTTTTTCGGCAAGTAACTGAGCTTCTTCTACAACGCGATTTCCAAGTCTAAGATATAGAGCTCTTTGAGACATAATTGTTTTTGATTGTTTCGGAAATGTTTAGTAATTACTGTATTGACATAAAATATATTAAACCCATAGATAAAATTAGATCTATCAGATTCTGTACCATAAGACATAACACTAGCATTACTGAAACATAGGGATGCCGAAAACGTATCGATATATCGATATTTTTGGCCGATATATTTTGATCCGCGGCCTTATTAGCTAAAATAAGCGATCAGCAAGCGATCAGCGAAAATTGTGCAGACGACGTGCGATCGATTGCTTTACGTCAAAAAAATTCGTATTACGTTACTCATCGCTAACCTATTGTTCGCTGATCGTAAATATGCACTTTTTGCTCGCTGAACTGTCAAATAAGCCATCGAGTAGCAATAGCAATAGGTTAGTAAATGAAAAGTGGAAAGTTTCTAAAACAAATGTTTCTAATTTTATTTAAGTGTCTTGAAAAACAAAAGCATGTGCGGAGTCTTTTTAATGGTTTAAACTTTCAAGTGCTGTTATAGTAATCGCTGTAACAAGTAGTCAAACAAAAAATATACAATACTCTTTAGAGTAGACGAGAGTTAAATCTTAGTTTACTTGGATTTTGAAGTCGCAACTTAAAAGAGGAATCATAGTGAAGTGAGTAAACAACTACTTTTAATTCAGCTTTAAATTATTACGGCTAGAAATATAAATATTAAAATTTATCTCTTTTTCAGTAGATATAAAAATATGGCAAATAGACGACGATATCGAACGACCAACTTGAAGAACTCTTGGAATTTCTTGTTTGGCAACTTGGATTAGCCAAAGAAGTAGGACTTGGGGCAAGATCTAAATTGTTGATAAGCAATGGAATGAACTTGCCACCAAGCTTAATTCCTATGGATCTGGGTCTTCAAAATCTGGATAACGATGGAAAAAGGTTTGTTTTTAAGGTATATTCTGAGTAAAGTAATTTATTTTTAAATAATTTGTCTAATTTGGTGGTCTCTGGGTCAATGCTCCTTCATTAGCTTATTTTTTATCAAAATTTATTTTATATTGTGGGGAAAACACACAAGAGCAAGGCTGGTGGTGATCCAAGTAGCCAGATAGATTTGCAGACAAAAAAGTCTTGGCTATTGTTGAGGAGCAAGATATATTTGGTGATAGTGAGCACAGAATTTGTGTATTTGTTATTTCGTCGACATAAACTTAACATAGTAATATATTTTTAAACCAATATGTTGTTATATCTCTATAGAACTATTTGAATATTATTAATTATTTATACTATTTAGAACACACAACTTGAAAATGTGTTGCAGACTGTAACTGAACCTGAGGAAGTACATGTAAAGGGTAAAATTTTGTAGTACATAGTATATTTTAAAAATATCCCATGCTTTTCTTTTATATACTATTTATACAGAGTTTGTTTTAGATAATGTGATAAAAAATATGACTATTACAATAACAGCAAGCTCATCATCAACACAAGGACATCAGAATTTGTAAATCTTTTGACATTCAGTATAATTGATTTCTCTTTCATGTCTTTCATTAATTTCAAATGATATTTGAAAAGGAAAGGCTAAGCTTTTCACAGAATATACATATAAATGTATTAAACATACTTAACACTGAAATATCTATTTAAATTGATACTTATTTTTGCAGACTTAACTCATGGTACAACTTCAGAGATACAGTTAGCTTAACCATCATGGACTGGTTTTTACTTAATATTTTCCAGAATAATATAATTACTATTTTACTTGGGCAATCACTAGTAGTATAATACTCAACTTTACAAATAGGTACATTTAAAATTTATGTATCTGTTAGCAAAATGGTGGTTAAAATATATATTTTGTTTGTAAAATTGTTTATATATATAATATATTCAAGAATCACATTTATTGTCTATATTTTTATTATAAATTTGACTAAACTTTGTTTCATGTTACAGAAGTGCAAAGCTTTGTCAATATCTGGCCATCTGTTGATCATATTGGCACATGTAGACATAAATGAGTTGCAAGTGCTCCTAGTAAACAACCTGATAACTTATTTTTAAAAGGATATTTATCAAAAATTATTAGCAAGAGATAATGCAATATTCTTATTACATATCAGGTCAATCCAGGAGACAGAATGGGTGATGGAATTAGAGAGAAATAAGGTACAGGCAGAAAATAAACTTGCAATACTGCACTTATAATGGCAAAAGCATCTAGTGTAAGCTGAAGCTGCTCATGTACAGGCATGCTATTGGAGCTTGTGCACAAGTAAAGTGAATAAATTCATGTGTTGCTGAGCTGAGTCAAAGCAGCTAATAAAATTTTGTAATGAAACAATAAATGTACTATAAATCAATATGTTCTTTTATTTTATTTCCCGCAGTAAGTAATAACCAATTAACAAAAAATACCACATAATTAGTACACTAACACTGTTTGGATTAACCAAAGCAAATACAAATAATTAAAATCAAATATTAACAGCTATGAGATAAATATTTTACATTACTAATCAATATTTATTAGTTCATATAATATAATATTGCATATCACATACAATTTTAGTAACCATATGTTGATTAACTTACATAACCATATAATATTATTTTGTATTATCTTGAAAGTATATATTTACAATTTGTATCATTTATTGATTATTTTATTTATATTACTATTTAATGTTAAAATATTGATTTATACTTTAATAACTTTTTATTAACAAATGCTTTTGTAATAAATATTTTTACATGCATTAAAAATCGAAATAAGGTTAATGTAGAGCTTACAAATTATTGTTATAAAGGTTACTTTTTTGAGGCTGTTGATCATTCTTCATATTCAATTGGGAATAAAAATGGCATACACTCGGCTAATTACTAAATACAATTTAATAAATTACATAAACCTATTTTAACACCCTATAAGGGAACAAAATGCAAACACTATTTGCATGTTTGTAAAATTTATAATAAGGTTATTAGAATATATGTGTTAAATTGATGCTTTTAATAATACTGAAAATTTTGAATTATAAGACAAAAGTAAATAAAAAATGGAATTGAAAAAAAGGAAAGTGATAGATGAAAAGTTCAATTTATAAATTATAGCAAGGTTTTATATAAAGCAAACGGCACAAACACCCTAGCTTATTACTACCTAGTATATACTTCATATATCAATACCCTAGCTTAAACCAAATCAGTATAATAATTATATTCAGAACATTAGTATAGTACATTAAGATCAATGTCTTGGAGCCAACCAAAAATATTGCACAATAAGATTTCTATCTTCTTAATGTCTGTAGCTTTATTTGATCTCATTCAGTATGAAACAGCTCTTTAAGAGTTTGTACTATTATGAGTATTGATGTCTAAACTCCGCTTCGATAACCTCCATAATTTTGGCTTGAGTCCGAAGAATACGTCTCAAGGGTATCATATTATGGTTAATTTGTTTCTCCTCAACTTCTAATGCTTCCAATAAAGAACAGCACGAGCCATGTTCAACACTTTCACAGTTCTTACTCAATTTAGGCACTTAAACCAACTTTTGTCACTTTTATACGCGTTTTTTGTTATATTTGAACGTTGAATTGTACAGTATATATGGAGGATATAAACAAAAACAAATCACGCGCGGATTAATATAAAAAGGACAAAAATTACAATAACGAAAGAGAAGCAATCGATGGAACAATCAATATAAAGTTTATCGCAATTTGACGTTAGGAATTTAGAATCGTTCGCTGATTGCTCTCGGATCGCTGTCAAAATTAATACGTGATACGAAAACTTTGTGTACCTATCGCTTTGGTTTGTATTAGGCTATTGCACTTTTTAGTTCACTGATTGTTCTACAGAGGCACGTCATTATGTTTTCGCTTCGCTATTGCTGATACATAATACGAATTTGCGATTATTGTGCAATAATTGCAATTTTTTCGCTATCGCTTTGCATTTGCTTTTTACGTAATAGGGCTGCGGATATTCGATATAAAAAATTGAATATCGATATGGTATCAAAAACGATATTTTTATTGAAACTGATGCAAAGCCGTAAAAGATAAAAATAAAAGGAAAAAGACTGTGGTCTGCTAGTATCGGCGCGGATGCGGAGTTGCATTTTGTACTTTAATTATGGTATTTATACTTTATACTATCCATATTTTTTATCGTCTTTACCATGTTGTACATGGTAAAGAGGTGTTACAAATCATTAATATCGAACTACATATTATGTTAATTTATAAATATCATGCAAAATATTAATGGCCTCAACTAAAGTTAATTTAAATGAATATGTAAATAAAGTTAACAAAAATTTAATTATAATCAAATTCTCAGTAGTTAAATGTCAAAATATAATATTATCTAAATTTCATAAAAAAATTATTTGACGTCATAAAAATATTATCATTTAACCACTTATGTAACTTCTCTATATTGTCATTCAGAATTTTCATGTGAATCAAACAACTGTTATTAAATTCTGTTGATTTAGGCCTGTCTTTTATGACAAGTCTCTGCGGGTTTCTTTCTGACTGCAGGATTAACTTCATTTTAAACAATTCTTTATGATTTTTTTACAAATTTACATATTTTTTAATTAATTATTTTTTGAATCGAATCGAGGCTAAAGAAACTGATTTATCATAGTAAATAAGCTTTTTGTTTCTTTTCCAATGAATGTCTTGATAAATAACATATCTAAAAATTTAGATTAATAAAAGAAATTTAAAATTAATAAATAAGTAACGTTTCATTAAAATTTCTCATTCATTTAAATATTGTGAATATGGTATAAAAATTACTATTACTTACTATCCAATCAGACTTAACTAAATATATTATTTTTTTAAACCTGAAAATTACCGATATATCGATATATTTTTAATGTTTTCCCTCTAAATGTAAATTCAAAATCCCCAGTTTTTTTTTATGTGGATTTTTTATCTAAAATTATTATTAAATTTAATTATTATTATTATTTAATATTTTTGTATTTGAAATTAATAAAAGCAGTGTGATATTTTGGTTGTTATAATAATTTAAATTAAAACAATAATAAAATTCAAAGATAACAAAGTTAGTAAATAATAAAAAAATATAATTATAATAATATAATATAACAATTAATATAAAAATATTAGTGATCACCAATCAAGATTTAATAGTAATAGTACTGAATTTTTATACCCCTTTTGGGGGCAATCCCCAAGTCGACTGAAATGTGACGAATAAGTTTCACTGAACGTTCGCAATTTTCATTTAAGTAAGAATGATTTAATCATTATACTTTTAGGTATTTACTTTTATTCAGACTTTATCTATATTACTATACATCATTGATTTTTATAACTTTTTACTACTTTGTAGTCATCTATAACTTCATAGTAAAATATAAAATTAACATTATAAGAAAAAAAAAATAGCTGCGAGTGTATACTTTGTAGAGAAATCCCAAGTTTAATTCGTTCTTCGTATTTTAATTTCGCTTGAATTAACTAATTGACGAGATTAATATGTAATGGCAACTCTTAATTACTGTATAAGACCAGAATTTAAATTCAAACTTTTATTTACTTACCCGCAATTTATCAGTGCCACGTCGCGTGTACGCATTTGAAATTGAAAGATATTAATATTATTACTGAAATTTTTGATCAATAAAATGGATTTGGAATACTCTGATTCTGATACTGAAAGCGAGAAAGATTATGATTTATGCTGCGTTCAACCAACTAATACATGTGCGCTGCCATTTGATCCAGTTTCATTAGAAAATATTATATTGGATATCACAGATAAATTTAATTTTCAAGTAATATGGAATAATCAACGGGCGAAGAGTGCTCTATTAGTAACCACAGGATTGGCGGTTGCCGGAGGATTAATTGGGAAGCATTATGGTGGGAACATGGGCGCAGCTGTAGGTGGGGCCGTTGGCGGCGCGTGTGGCATAGGTTTTGCTAGTGAGTATAATTACAATATTAAGTACAATTGCTACAAGCAAAAACTAAGTTTTACTATATTAGCTAGGGAATATATAAATAAATATAGCTATCCACTCTACAAATCAATGTCCAAAAACTTTACACAGGGCCTGATTGTAAGGTGATCTTTTGCAAGCCTTTTTTTTTCATTAGGCCCCTCTTTTTTTTCAAAATTCACCATGAAATATCACGAGGTCTATAAACTGACGCTGACTTATAAAGCCAGTTTAGACTGATGCAATGATTATTTTTCCTTATTTTTGTATTTATCTATCTAAATGTACACGCAGTCAAATAAAATCTGCCGAATTTGTCGACAGCAAGTCTCATAGATACAGTATAGTAGACAATTACGCAATGCAACAGTTGCGTTAGATTAATTCACAGCTCCTCTCGTATATGTCACAAATAAGTGTCTACTCTGAATTTTAGATATCAAATGAAAACCATTTTATGAGCTTTTTATTCATACACATACAATAGTTGTTTTTTAGGTTAAACAAAAATTGTAGTTACTTAAAACTTTCTTAGGAAACCGTTTACAGAAGTTGTATGTTTTACCCCTTTTGCGTTTAATTTATTGTCAACGACAAGATTTTGTAGATTTTGCGCATTTTTAAGGCAGTTCTACTTAGTTTTTACTTTTTAGATGTTTTTTGTTTTTATTTATTTGTGTTGCAGTCGTGTCAATGAGAGATATATGGCAGGATATAAAATCTAAGCTGGCAGAACTATTTGACGTAGTTTACGACTACTTAGCTGGGCTGGGATTGGAAGACTATAAGAAAGCCACTTACTTCTTGATCCAGAACGGCAGTTGCGCTCAACAGTTGGGAATGCTCATTTTACAGATATCTACAGATGTGCTGGGAAAGAAGATATTATCCAGTTTGACACCGGCTTAATTTCTTTTCTATAATTATAACGTAACTTTAATCGTATAGACATAATACAAACATACTAACATAAAAATAAGACATAGATCATAATAGAAGAAATATTAACTGGTTTTAGATTAAAATTAACACCAACATTGTTAATGTTATAATTTTAATCGTGATATCGTTATAAATAATATTGCCATTGAGTTTATCATAAAGTATTGCATCTGAAATTAATATTTGCCAAATGTTTATTATATACGAAGCTTTTACGCGTCTCGTTGACACGTAAAAGCTGCGTAAAGCGTCGTTTTACGTGTCTGTAGGTAGGTATAAAAATGCGGAAGGACTTTTTGTTTTAATAATATATATTAATACTACCTGTTTATGACTATTTGTAAAATTTTAGATTTAGCAATGACATTTTAAATTGAATTGAATTGGTATTAAAGCGCTGGTTGACGCAAATTAATTATATTGCACTTTCCTAAAATTCTATTGAAACTTTTAATAAAATATTTTCGACGTGCGTAAGTTTTTTATTATTTACCGCAATGAAGGTACGATCGGTAAACAAGATTTCTTGACATTTTTATATTTATTGTTTGCTCTAGGCTGTAACATGTAGACGTTGTCATATTTCCTTTCATAAGATGTGAACACAAACGTATTTCTCTGAACCAAAGACCTTACACTTACTAACGTTTGTAAATGTAAGATCTTTGCTCTGAACTGACCAGAAAGTAAATTGCAAGTTAAAACATAGAGAAATATTTGGGTTAGTGTTGAAAAATGTTATTTTCTTATACTTGAATACACCTGAAACCTTTTAAAGTTATTCTCTTATTTTACAACTCAAATATTGCGTTTGTTTATAAAATTTACTGTTTTTTTCTTCAATATTTTCATCCTAACTCGAATTAGTTGGAGTCGGCGGTAAAAAGTCACGTTCATCGTACTGATTGGCTTTTTAAAGACCGCCTGCGTCCTTGGGCACAAACATCTATATCCGAAACCATCGTTTGTGGGTTGCATAGGCATGAGATATACCTGCAACATTCTATACCCGGCCTCAAAGGTACGAGTATCGCCGTATACCCGGTGCTAAAACCCAGTATCAAAATACCTATAGGTATTAGTTATGTTCAGGCCTCCTTTTGGAGACGAGGTCGAATCAAACGAATTGAACCTTTGGTTGGAATTGGAACATTTAAATGTTTTTTTTAGCAATCAGTTTTTTTAAATTGAGATTTAATCAGTCTAAAATAAGCTCTATCTTTACTAACGTAAAGAACCTTATTATCAAAAAAAAGTAATTCAATTTTTTTATTAATTAATTTAATAATCAATTAAACAATTTAATTAATTAAATTATTTATTACAAAGAATAAATTTATCTCAAGAAATTATTTGGTATAAAATGCCTAAATCATACGTTTCAATTCGGGCATGATCGGGAAGAGCCGCCGTAAGCGTTCGGGGAACGTCGTACTTATTCGGCCGGCGGGTTGTCGCGAGCGTATATACCGCCACCGTCGGACGAGGCGGCCATAGCCATACCTATCGGTGCGGGTATGGAACGGGCCTCTGCCGTACATACGTCATACCCGGTGTGCGGGCGGGTTGTCGCGAGCGTATATACCGCCACCGTCGGACGAGGCGGCCATACCTATCGGGTATGGAACGGGCCTCTGCCGTACATACCCGGTGTGCGTACTGGTATGTTCATACTGGGTATTTATACCTGTTCCAGTATATACGCCTCATCCCTAGGGTTGCATAAATACTTATACTAGTATGGGAATGAAACCCATGATCCTGGGCGCTGTAGCCAACTACCTTAGCAACTGCGCCAATACGCCCGGTTTCTGAAACACTGATCATCTTAGATGTTAATAATTATCTATCAAATTTTCAAAGGCTTTTCAAATGTCATGTGATTTGCTAAAAGAATGGTTAAACTCTTTGAAAACTGAATTGATCATTCTGATCAATTATTCAGAGAGTTTAACTATCAGACAGCTAATTAGTTAACTTCTGCGATGATCAGTGTTTCAGAAACCGCGCATAAGACACGAATATGATCGGTGATGTATCGATGGGTATAATAGAAAAAAAATTATAATACCGCTTTTTTAACGTATTTACTATTTACAATACTGCGGGTGTGGCAGATATCAATTTACACTGGATAGGGTATCATTACTATCATATAATATCAGGTGAACTAATACGCTAACTCGCTAAGAAAGAGCTGTTCTTTCTATTCCAATTCCAGGGGAAGAAACACGGTTTATCATTGTGAGCGTTTAGTGGACTGTGGAACGCATGCACTCTATGGTGTATATTTTTTATTTATTTACGAACACTTAACCAACTGTCAATTCAGGTTTCTTCGGCCTTTTGCCAATTTTAATTTAATAATAATAATCCACTCACTTTTTTGAGCTTACGTTACGTCGTAGTAAATTAAACTTCTAGAATTTATTATAAGCTTAGAAACGGTATAAAATCAATAAATCATAATGTCGTTGGAATTACAGCCACTTCACGCTGTCGGCGTTCATTTAGATTCCAGTTGGACGGAGCAAATCATTTTAATGCTTGGTGAGTATTTAAAATAATTGATATTCTCCATCATTGCATAGGTACAAAGGTAAGGTAATTTGTTCCGGTTCTTTGCACTTGTAAAGTGAGGAAATTTTCTGAATAATGTCAAATAATTTTTTTCACAAATGTAATGTTTAGTCTTTAGTTTTCTGATTAAACTATAATAGATAGATGAATGTTTTGAAATTGCCTTATTCAATATCCTTGCACATTTTTCAAACTTTACTTTTTTGTATTTTCTTAGCCAAAAAAATAAATTAATAAATGTGATTGTATAAAATATACACTTTTGTTAACTGGGCTATAATTCTATTTCCATAATATTTTATAATATCAATATCAATATCAGATAATATGAATGAAATTTTAACAGCAAAAATGTATGAAGATAGGATGTTGATCTTTGAAAGTGTGCCTGTTGAAGCTCAATAGTATTGGAAGTGTTTAAACTAGGTAAAATTTTGTCTATAGAAAATTATAATATTGAATAGATTTTTAAAAAAATATTGTCGGTAGTATTGCTGTATGTGTAATGATATAGTTGTTCTATTAATGAATTGTTTTTTTAAATATATTGATAGTTATGTGTTTGTGACTTGATTTTAAGTATCCTGTATGTCTGTATCCTCTAACAAAGTAAAAATGGGAGTTACAGAACAAAATAAACATTGAAAAAACAGTAATGGTGGATTTCCTTAGTGACAATAATTAATGTTTTCTCAAAAATCTGTAGGTGAGTGCAGATCTGCTTACTGATTATTGATATTTTCTCTTTATTATGTGATTTTTCTCTGTCAACATTTTTTTTAACTGCAATATCGACTGCTTAAGCTGCTGATCAATTACCTTCGTACTCTTTTGCCTGAGTTGTAAATTTAAAATTACTAATGATGACCGTAACAAAGCGAAGGTTGAGTGGGTGAAGCGACAATCAGGGGCGACATAGTGAGAGCTCTGGCGAAGCACATAGAAGAGTCAAATTTAGTAATGAAATTCTACTTTTTTAATATTTCTCATATTCCATTAATCTGTTACTGATTTTTACCTAACGTTAAATTTTTTTTGTTTGCTATATCGATGTAGTAGCCTACTAAAATTTTACCCTTTTTTGTTTCAGCTGACGAGTTTAACATTCGCATAGCATGGGATCGCAACTCTGCTATATTAACCGGAGCATTTGCTATAGCTGGCGGTATGCTCGGAGGATATACAGGAGGTAGGGTTGGTGCCGCTATTGGAGCAGGTGTGGGTGGAGCAACAGGATTTGTGGTCTCCAGTAAGTTTATCAAATTTCTAGTGGCTCTGTAATGCAAATATAAAATTAGAAGGTATAAACCAGACTTAATGCTTAATTTTCGGAAAAGTTGTCAAATCTAATAATAACTAGTCTTTTTGTTTCATTATTTATGGTATACACCTGAAGTCAGCTTGAGTAAATAAAATAAGTATTTTCACTCCGCCTAACCTTAACACATAATTCTCAATTATTGGTAAATGTAATATTTTATTTTATATGTAGATTATAAAAAATAACATTGGATTGGAGATCAGGTAGTTCAACAAATTCAAAAAAACTAAAAAAATATTTAAGTGGAACTCCCATACAATGGGCGTTCCACTTAAATATTCCCGATATGATATGGAGACACGATTTTTTTGTTGTTTTAATAGATAATGGTATGGAAATCTTCATGCGCGAGTCAAACTCGCACTTAGCCGGTTTTATTCACTAAATGTGTCCAGTATTTTGTGCACACTTTGTTTATCTAAAAACTATTTATCATCCTATACATGATTAGAAATTGAGACCCACATTATATTGCTTTCAGCTGTAGTGTCCCTGAGAGAGGTGTGGGATTCTGTAAAAGAAAACCTGAAGGAGCTCTTTTTCATCATTATAAACTTCCTACGGAGACTCAACGCGGAAGATTATGCCAGAGCCTTTGACATGCTTATGGTTTGCACAGCCAGTCGTAGGGAACTTGTGTATATGATATTAGACTTTATAACAGATAAACTGGGACGAGAAGTCTTTTCAAGTATATCGGCAGCTGGTATTTCTGCATAATCCAAATAATTTTCTTACACCATTTTAGTTTGTTCTATTAAGACAGCTAACAGTAATTGCGATAATTGTTTAGTTCCTACGGCTTTGAGGGTAGTTTTATATCTTATTTTGTTTGGTAGTGTTTAAGGATAGCCTTTATTGACAAAATAGCCATTGCTGTTCATTTAATGGTAACAATGGTTCATTTTATGGCATGGTTAACCTAGCAACTTTTCACAATCACTTGTCATCAAAATACATGATAGGTCCATCTGTCTGTTTGAGCGCAACAACTTTATACCTAACGTAACCTATGTTATTACTTATAACTGAAATTCATTGGTTAGTTAATTCACAGTCACACTATTTGTTGAGTTCTCTTGTAGATAATAATTATTTTGTATTGCAATAGACTTGAATACAGCTTGATAATGGATGCCTCACCCCGTCACAATATTTCTTCTTAGACGGAAATATTATGCCAGGTTGTACCTTATATGAAATTTTTCGTTAGAAGCATTCCATTCTTTTTTTGTATCGGGGGAAATCCCATTCTAGTCTTTATTTCATTTTTCAATGTTTTCTTTATTTGATTAGAGTACAACTCTAGATTTAATTCTCTTGTAGTGTGTTTTATCTGTATTTATTATGCTGTCTTTTAATATTCTAACTTTAATTGGTTTTAATGTGTTGTAAATCTTAAATGAACTTTTATTTATGGAAAAATAACAACAGAATTTTGACACCATCCGTCCTAAACAGCTCATTTAGCCATGTAGTGATCTGTTATATGTAATATAAAGAAATGTATATCATTATATTTTTTTAAATGAATATTTTAATTGCCTTGAGACTGTGTTACATATTATTACTGGTTAATAATGTTTATTTTTTTTAATGTGTTTTTGAAAAAAAAAACATGTAGTTAGTACATTGTATGAATTATTTGTTATTAAAAACATAGAAATCTTGTGATTTTGCTATAAGATAAATTTTAAGTATTTCCCTAAATAAAGTGCCTTGCTTTATAGTTCAAGCCATATTCTTTTTGATGAATTATTGTATGACACTAAACAAATCTCGTTAACTTATGTTAGCGGTATTCACTCACCATCAGGTAAACCGTCTGCTCGTTTGGCAACACACACATAAAAAAAAAAAGATATGTATTTATAGCCAGTTTAAAAGGGGCGGTTAAACGGCGCGTAAAGACGCAAGAGCAAAGATCGATTGTCGGTTTTTCTGCAATGTTTTGCGTCATCGAGTGTTTCCTTTACAGCAAATGGCCACTTTTCATACAAAATTTTACAATGGTTACTTGAAAACTGGAGATGACACCTTTTTCTATAATTTTTTTAAAAGATAATAGCAATATAAAAATTGGTAAAAAAATTAGTGCTATTAACACATAAACTTAATTAAAAACTTGTAGAAAAATCGACTAAAATTTGTTTAAACTTATTTGGTTTTAATAAAGTATTTATTTAGTTTTAATAAACATTGAAAACATTTTGAGCCTTGAGTATATTTCATTTTGCAAAAGTTACGTCTTTTGCCAATGTAATTTAATTACTTGAGCCCGTGTATTTGTTTATAAAGTATGTGATTGAATTACATTGTTGAATGTGAATATGGGCTTAGTTTTCATACATATATATTCATCATCATCATCTGAGGCATTACAGCCGCGGGTGGGCCTTAGCCTGGTCAAGCAAATCTCTCCAGTCCGATCTATTCATGGCTTTGTTTCTCCAGCCTACAACCCCCAACATCTTGGTGTCCTGTTCGACGCCATCTAACCACCTGAGCTTGGGCCTGCCCCTACTCCTGCGGCCCTCCAGAAGGCATTTGGGTACTCTGGCCTCGTCCATTCGCACCACGTGTCCTGCCCATTGCAGGCGTCCGATGTTTATGAACCTGATGACGTTTGGCTCATCAGGTTCGATCCATATATATTGAGATCCAATATATCACTATATAGATCGTGCTTCGTGGCAGTCTGTGGGGGAGGCCTCTGTTCAGCAGTGGACTCAAACATGGCTGAAATGATGATGATGACGATGGGAACATTTATTGTAACCCGAAATTCAACCGCACAACGCCGGTGAGAGCAATTCGCTCATCTGAGAGAATATTTATTAATAGGTATTGAAAGGAAACAAAAATTATGTCACATTATTTATTCATTGCTCAAACTGTGACTAAAACTACAAACGCGAACTATCACAATTATAAGGCAATTTGTATGAAGAGCAGTTTGCCGCGATAGAATCGTGTAATATTCCTAAACGAGCCATATTATTTTATTATATTTTTTTGTCACCGCACTTGTTTTATTTTGTAGCTTGACTCCGCATCGATATTATAAAATAAAATGGAAGAAATAAAATCAATAAATTAATAAAAAAAAAAAACTTACAGCTAAGTAATTAAATAATTTAAAACATAGGAAGTTTACAGATAATTAAGAGCAACTCACTGTCAAAAACATAAGTCTCTGTGTTAAAAATAAATTCTATCTACCACCTATAGGAATGTCAAACACTGTGTGTAGTCTGGCGTTTAAAGTGCTCACAACACTATATTACAATACTTTGATCTGACCACCACTTAAGTACTTATTCACTACTTTTAGAATTAAATTATTATTAAACAATGACAGTATCAAGAGAAAAGGTCCTTTAAGTCATGGCTACTGAGATTTCATCATTTGGTCGATATTTGTAAGTAAATAAATTATGCCAATAGGGGCTAGGATTTTTTGTTATTCGAGCTAACAAGTTTCGATCACTGGCGAATTACAACACGCATATTGCATACATTGGCCTGAGCCTAATGTTTCACCTAACCAATACAATACAATCCCACATTAATTTATGTTAAAATAATTTAATTAATTCTCCGTGCCAAATCATACGTATCATACATTAATTTAAATTAACATTAAGTTACATTTCCACCTTCAAAGGTAATTTATAATTTTAAATCCTTACCAACCCACAGGTAATAAGAATGTAAATTTATAAGGATCATAGACATTTTCATAATTAACAGCAGGTATTGTCATTTATTATTCTAATAATCGGTTCAAAGCACGAATAAAAAAAAAGAAAAAGTAATACATGAAATAAGTTTCTGTCCAGCAGAGACAATATAATCAATAAATAATTTCTTGTAAATTATTAAATTCATTAATAAACTACGAAGATAGTATAAGCAAATCTACAAAATTGTATTGAAGCAAACACACTATAAAGGCTACAACACCAATCAAATCTCATATATTCTAACACGGATACCTAATGTATCGATTTTGTGACCGGAAGAGATGATTGTGTAGCCTGCAAATAACTTGGCAAAGAAAAAACTGGCAACTGTCATAGTGACACATGTCAGAATTGACATTGGCGCTAAAAACTTTTGTACTATCGAGGCGGTGCACGTAATTTCCGAGGGTGCGGGAAGGTGGTTGGTTAGTCCTGCTCCTCCATCGCGTTCTTCAGTTCCATGGCCAGTTTGTAGCCGAGTTCGGGGCGGCGATCTCGCCCCTCAACCATTGCAAGCACCTGCAACCACCGGTTCGTTATGAAGAGATTTTGGGTGATGACACACCAAAGATTATATCATGTATGTAGTGTTACAATCGTATTTATTATAATTTTACTAGCTGACCCGTCAAACGTTTTTTGCCATATAAATTATTCCTATGGAATTTGTAGGGTATAAAAAATATTTTGGGCGGATCACCCTTATCACTTAGGGGTATGTCACGATTCTCAGACCTACCAAGTACACATAAAATTTCATAAAAATCGATCAAGCCGTTTCCGGAGTATGGCAACTAACGTTGTAACAGGAGAATTTTATATATACATATTTTTTGTATTTAAAATGTATTTGTTATACTATTTTTAGTGTTATTTTTTTTTACTTTTACACCTACTTTTTAATATCTGCATCGTCCATTTGGTTGGCCAGTAGGGAAAGACCCAGGCATAAAGTCCACCAATACACAAAATGGTTGTAAAATTCAAATAAATAAAGACACATTGATCATTTTATACCCCCGAACCTAATTTTCACGAAGTTACGTAAACTTACGGCCGTTCGTTGAATTGCGGTTCGTTGAACCCGGACATATATCGGGGCAGTCCTATACAGTGAGAGCAGTGAGTGGCTCACGCTGTCCCTGGCGGGGCTGAAGAGTGTACCTGGTCCGAGGTGACGATGACCCCGTGGTTGTTGACGATAGTCGCCTTGGTCTTCTCGATGTCGGCGAGGTCCACGCCGCGGCTGGCGTCGTCCACCAGCACGGCGCGGTAGCCGATCGCCAGCGCGTCCGCCATGGTAGCGCCTGTGGTGCAAGTGCGCCCCATGCGTAACAAGTGTGCCTTATGCTATACCCCTTTCTTTCCGTGAGAAAAACCCTTTATGGATCCCCTGCCATTGGGGGAGTGGCAGAGGTATGTGCGAGTCCCGGTGAGAAAAGGGTACCCACTAAAAGCCCACGTTGTAACTGCCTCTGTCGCATCGGCCGGGGACACGGGAACACGTGGACGCAATCTTCCGCGACTATTTCGATTTTAGGCCTCCTCCACTACATGGTGCTGTGCCGGTGGCCTTATGCTATACCCTATGTGTAACAAGTGTACCCTAGGCGTTACAAGTGTGCCTTATGCTATACCCAATGCGTTACGTTTAGTGTGACCCACAGTATTTTTCTGTGTAAAACGTCCTTACAATATAAGATAGTGTTATCCTACAGTAGGAGGCAATGTTCACTAGGTAGTTCTAGCCCCTTCCACACAAAACATAAAACAGAGGGGACAATGTTTTCGAAGGGAAGACTACTACAATAGATCCTCCAGGTCGCAGTGATCGTCGGGAATCACAACCACTGCCGTCTTAAGCCATATCGGGGCCCTAGGGCACACAAATCTGGAGCCCTGATGGAAAGTAAAAAAAATTGAACGAGAAAAACATGTTTCTGTTATTATCTTACGTTTTTGATATATTCTATAAGCTTATGTCGGAAATATGTCTACCAAAAATTGAGAAAATTTTCTATGGTTTAAGCGAATACGTACGCCATTTGGGGCCCCCGTGACGTCAGGGGGTGTGGGCCCCGTGTGCCCTTACGGTGAAGACGGTACTGATCACAACCCCACACAAAACAAAACTAAAGTACGCACCGACGCAGACGTCGTAAGCGAGCCCGCAGATGTAGATGTCCGTAGCTCCGCGCATCCTGAGCTGAACGCTGAGGTTGGTGTCGGTGAGCTTCTTGTTGTCCCAGAACACGGAGTAAGAGTCCACCTCGGAGTTGGTGCCCTTGTACACCTTCACCGCCCCCTCCACCACCTGGAAGGGCGAGTGGACACCGGGTCTCTGTCTGGCGGAATTTTTTTTTATGCGAAAAGTTGTCAAACGAGCAGACGGTTCACCTGATGTTAAGTGAATACCGCCTCCCATGGACATCTGCTACACCCGAGGGTTACAGATGCGTTGAAAACCTTTTGAAAATTGGGCTCCGGCTACCTCACTCACCAGACGAAACGCGAAAGTATTTGTCATACTTCCACTTTACGTCGGTCTTCTGCGAGGTCGTGGTACTTACCCGGACGGGCCTGCCCATTCGTGCAACAACCGAGGCTGCTGCGTGGCCCTACCACCGTAAAGTGGTGTTGGTTAGTGCGCTTTATGGTGTGTGCTTTTCGCTGGTTCAGAAAAAATGGTACCATGACATGTAGTTGTGTAAACAACGAAAAAGTTGTATGTAATTTTTAAAGCAAGCACAAAGTAAACTCATCGAAAAAAGGTTATCTTTTTAAAAACGATGTTAAAAATTATGCTGTTCTTAACTGTGTTTAACACTTTCTACATTTACGTTTGACGTAGGTCTACATTGATTTCAGACCTTCTGCCTTTAGCGTACAAGTAGAACGACATAAAACACGAAAGTTGACAACTGCGATGAACGTACATCATTTTTTATTTATGTTTCAACAAATAAATTATGCAGATATTTGTACGCCGCGTTGATATAGCCACACACAGAGTACAGCAGATGTAGCAATGTCCAAATTCGTGGTCTAACCTTGAGGTCCCTGTGTAGCTCGGCGCCCCACGTGTCCTGCACGCAGTGGCGGGGCCACAGGCGCTGTTTCATAGGCGGGGGTCCAGCGAACACCACAGTGTCGTAGGCCTGCGCTTTGTCCGCCGAGACCTGCGGAAAGGGGAGGGGGGGGGGGGGGGAGGGGGCTTTAGCCTTTTGTCTATACCTTTCGACGGCTCGGATCGTATTGTATACGTCTGACGCTCACAAGCGAGCTGTCGATTAAGCGCCGCCCATGGACATTTGCAACACTTGCAGGGTTGCAAATGCGTCGCCACCTTTTAGTAAAGTGGGCTTCGGTTAACTTAATCGCCGGACGAAACGCAGAAGTTAAACACTCCAATTTCACACCGGTCTTCTGTGAAGTCGTGGTATTTCCCAGGACGGACCTGCCCATTGTATACGAAAAAGACAGTCAATTTGTATTCATTAATGTCCTATGATTCCGATTAGATAGATTTTAGCACAGTAGAACCGCACTCCCTTCCTTCCTTCCTTCCCCGTTCTGCCACCACACCTTCTGCCGTTCGTATTGGTCAACGTGATGGCGTAGAAACGTGAGCTCAGAAAAACAGTGGGAATTAGAAGTATTGGTAATTTCACACTAATATAGGAGGAAGTCCATGATTGTCTAAGGCAGCCTTAATCATCGACCATCCAGTGAAACACTTGCTTATTTGTCATACTTTTTCATCTTCAGTCACGTCTATCCGGCATCTATATCCTTATAAGCCCAGCGGTGATGTGGCAAGTTGCTATTGATTACGGTCGTCGGGAGAACATGGCCAGTCAGCTTGGGTCAGGTCTGTGGAAAACTCACTGGACTGGAGACGTGGAGCTCGCGCATGTGGACGTTGTCTATGAAGGACACGTGGTCCGGTGGGTGCCAATCCAGAGAGTAGAACACGCAGTCGAACGGAACAGTTTCCAGCAGACGGTTTATGGGCTCCACGACCTGTGCCAGACGATCATGTGTTGCATATTAATAACATTAATCGAGCCTCGGGTGCTAGTATCGAACATTACACCTAGTAACGATTAAAAAATTTTTCGTGTGGCCTGCTAATATCGAACATTACTGCTGATGAGAAGTAATTAGAAACATTAGTCGACATTAGTCATCATTATCATTATTCAACATTAGTCTAGACTGCTAGTATCAAACATAATTCAAGGATTAAAAATAATCTTAGAATAATGTTTTTCAAATAATCCTCGAATTATTCTTTAATGCTGACCTCTGCACTCAGTATGAATATTGAAATGTGAATATTGTGAGATAATTAAACATAAACTTTCGGCACGGTGGAATGACCTGTTTCACGAATGGCCTGGTCCATCCGGGTAAGTACCACGACCTCACAAGACACCACAGAACGAACACTGGCGGAGAGTGGTAGTGCTATACGTTTCGTCTGGTGAGTTAGGTAAACGTGGTCCAATTTTTTTAAAAGGTGGCAACGCATCTGAAATCCTACGGGTGTTGCAAATGTTCATGAGCGGTGGATATCACTTAACATCAGGTGAAGCGCCAACTTGTTTGCAGCCTTCATGAGTGTTGAATGGAAAATACAATTATAAATGTTATTCTTTTATTTCGTACGTATCTACATACTAATTTAAGGATGAAGAACTGCAAAAGAGTTCTTTTTAAATTTTGTCTGTTCTGATTCTATTTCCCCATATTTTTCTTTCTGTATACAGGTTTGATATTTTACATTTCATAACATGAGGTACTTAATAAGTAAAGGGTGAAATGGGTTTAACTTTGTAACCTCTTTGGTTAGAACACATAATATGTAGGCACATGCTATTATTCCTATCGCTTTTGAAACGCTTCGTATCACACGCTGTCACGCGTGGCCAGGCAATGCCACTCCTCAGCACCAGGCACAACGTTTACGATTCAAACGATTAGCAATACATCACTAGGTAAAAATGAACCATCAATAGTTTACTAAATTAAACTATGTTTACGGATTTACCGCGTTTATTTTGGTTTTAATACTTATAGGTCCCTTTCTTCTATCTCCTGCCCCGCTAAATTGCATTACACACTTAACCCCATTTTTTTTATAAAACTTGGATTAACTTAACTCGGTGACGAAAGTCAACAAACAAACCATACTTCAACCATGACAACCATCAACCGCCGGGAAAAGACGGCTGGCGCAGATGCTAAGCCAGTGGCTTTGGCCCCGTTTGTCGTGGGGTAGATTCCAAACGGGACAAGTGTTTGTGTGTGTGTGATCTGGGTGTTCGTTTCCAAGGAAGGTTGACGTCTAGCAAGCGGTTGGGCGTAAATAATAAATCGCCAATAGCATAAACAACATGATTCACATGTTTCGCGCGACCCCTCCTAGGTGGTCTACTTGTAAGGGCTAGTTGTTTAACGAATAAATCGTTTCGAAATTAAGGCATATTTTTAATAATCTACAATTTTTAGGGCTAAAAAAATCGATATAAGATAAAACTAGCACATAAACAAAAATAATTCCTCGACGAAGTTAATTATTTAATGACAATGATAGTTTTGAGATTAGACACAAGAAAACCTTAATAACCTGGGCGAAAAATTTAACATAATTGTTAAGCCTATACATAATCCCAACAAAGTGAGTTTAAACGACCTAAAAATTTTCAAATGATCACTTCAGCTATGGACAATGGAGACTTATATTATTCTTTAATGTTTTATTCATAAATTTCAATTGTTCTGTTAACAGACAGCAGAATGAAGTGAAATTAGAATCGGATATTTATTAAAATGTATTGTTTTGACAAAATTGAACGTATTCAACCTGACATATACCACACAAGTAAAGCAAGTATCCATAGACGACGTGTATGTTTCGTAGATTGCTGTAGAAGGCGAGAGTGAGAGAGATAGATAGAAAGAAAAGACATTCATAATCTATCTGATAGGAGTGAGTATTAAGTATATATACAGTCGTCAGCTTCGTTGTTAAGACGGGCTTCTTTATTGAAATAGAAAACTGCATGAAACGGTTATTAATTTTATAGTGAAATGAAGGGTAAAGAAATTAAATTGTATTTCTACTATCATATCAATAATTTGATTCTATTTCTGGCTTCCTTGTCTTTGATTCCGTGAAAATAGAAAGTAGTCACAGGGGACCAGTAAGAAATATAACAATTAACTTGATTCATAGTGTAGGTTTATGCGCAGCAGTGAAAATGGTATTTAAACTTTGTCTAATAACAAAATACAAATATAATGCGAAAAATATGCCGCAGTGAATCAACAAAATTTTAATTGAATCGCCTTTATTCACCCTGTCATGTCGTATGCCATGACAATCGCGTTAATTAATTAAAAACCTAAGCACGGGACACTGTTACCATTCCGTCGTAAATAGTCTAATGCGGTTCATTCCCCGGTACCGTACAATGAGTTAGCCAGAACTATTGTGTGGGTACCACAATAGGTATTGTTAAAAATATAACAAATAAGCGATAATCGTTACCAAACAGGCGAGGCGGACTTGGCGGAGATGTAACATACCGACAACAGTCAAATGTAGAATTTTGAAAGCTCGATGAAAATTTACAATTACCTTTCCATGTACGTTTGAAATTGAGAAGCCGTTGGGGTAATTCATAATAAAATTACATTTTACAATGAAATACTAATTTGCGTTGCCTTCGTGAAAATTTATATATAATCATGAGTGTCTTCATTGAGTACAACATCTTTTTTGTGAGTTGATTGCAAAACTTTTAATTAGTGTTTTTTCGTGGAAAAAGCATGTACAAATTCGACTGTGATTGTGGGCTCTCTTACATAGGTCAAACAAAAAGGGCTATAGAAACCCACGTGAAAGAACACAACAGATTATACAAGTCTACTCTGTGAGAGCACACTCGTAATGTGGGGACATTTAAAAAAAAAACACAAACTAATTTCAATAGAGAGGAGGGTCGGATGCTATTAGCAAATAGAATTTCCATGCTTTGCATAGATCGACACAAAGTTAACAATTCAAAAACTGGCGGTAGCCCGGACTAATGACGTCCAATGTCTCAGTCTGTCCCGTGACCACGAACGCCGAAGAGGGTTCGAAACGTCTGGAAGAATAAAATTTAAAATAAGGCTATAAATGCGTAAATATTCAATTCGATCAAAACTTTTCGAAGAAGTCTCGAGTGGTTAAATTATTGCACGGATGTAATCGCGTTTAATATTCTCGCTCAACCCTGGGGAGTTGGTTCGTGCTTGATCACTTCAAGGGGTGATTGATTACGGATGCCGCCCCCCACCCCATCTCGGTTGCACTACAGCTGTTCAATTGGCGCAGGGTCAATTACGTGATGGGGTGGAAGGAGGGGTGTTGAGGCCGCGGTGCCAGGCGCGGCGCCGATAGCATAATTGCCCGAAACCGCCACTGATAGCCGTTAACTCGAGCTGTTGAAGTCGAATCTATTTAAAGGCGCCCTTTGTCGATTTAATCGGCGACGAATTTAGCACGACGGTAATCGGTGCCATTAAGTAAAATTAGGTCGTTCTCAACCTGGGCTCAAGTTTTGCAAACCATTCGGCGTAACGAAGGCTGTAATATAGGTCGCTAGTTTCGTTTATTAATGATTATTTCTAAATATAAAATGTTGATCTCTGCATTTAGTTAAAATGGACGAAAAATACCTATATATAATAAAACAATTCAAAAACCCACTTAAATCCCCTAAAATTCAATGAATTAAAACCGAAGCTTAGATTCTGGTTTGAATTTACCTTTTAAAAAACTTCCATAGTGTATACAGTAAGTTTTCTTCCTAAATTAAGGAAGAAAACTCTTCAGTTGACATCCGTGATACCAGGTACTTAGAGTGGATCCATCTAACTACCTGGTATCAAGGCTTAGACAGGACCTTATATAATTTAAAGTTATGGAGAAAGAAATGTTGTAATATATCATTGTCATCATTATTACTTCAATGATAATGATTTTTTTGTAATTTCGCAAATGGCAAATGTTAAAATAGTTACCTACTGAACGTTCCGAGGCTATGGATGCTGTGGTGTTCGAAACGGGAACTATAAACAATACATAATCGTTTAATATACTATTAAAACGATTATGTATTGTACGGTTCCGTACCCAAAAGGTAAAATGGGACCCTATTACTCAGCTGTGTCTGTTTGTTTCTCCGCCCTTCAGTCTGTCATAAGGCACGTCTCTTGAACCATGGTAGTTAGACAGTTGGAATTTTCACAGATGGTCTATTTCTGAAGCCGCTATATTGACCAATACTAGAAAACAGAATAAAAAATATTTAATTGGGGCATACAAAAGACGTGACTTTTTGCCGTTTTTATAGATAATGGTACGGAACCCTTCAAGCGCGAGTCCGACTCGCACTTGGCCGGATATTTTTTTACAACTAACACCAGACCTCTTCTTGACTAACAACTACTAATATACACGTCGGTGTTTAAACACTATTTTGTTCCAAGCTGTGAAGGCTTACAGAACATAAATTAATCTATGTGAAACTAGTTTGTTTAAACAATTTAGAGATAAATATTATGTAAAAACATAAATGTTTTGAGGGAACAATTAAATGTCCGTTGTTCAGTTTTCCTCATATATAGATAGTGAGTGTGTTAAAATGAATAGAATTCTAATAAAATGTATAATGATGGGTATAATGTAGCTTTCAAATACTGAAGAATTTTTTAGAATCGGTTCAACGGTTTCGCGAGACAAAATACTTTATTTACTTTAATTTTATTTAATATATTCTCGGAAAAAAAGTCATTACATAATAAACTTCAACAATATTATGGACAATTTATAGTGAGATTAGAATATGCGAATAAAGAATGATAAATTAAAAGAAATAAAGAATAAAAAAATAAGGTTTTAAACTAGTACCGTAGTGTTGTCAAAGTATTGGCTTATACGCACGGGGTCGTGGGTTCGATTCCCGCAC